ATCTCGAGGGCTCCTAACAGTAACAATGGACAGGACAGTTAAACCCTGGCCATTCCTTTGCCATCCTAGCAACCATTGCTAAGTTGAAGCAACTGTGTCTGTTTCTTTGAGGAGTTTACTTTTTTTAGTGACCCTTTAACCAAGTATGATGTTTATCTCCTGGACCTCACTACTCTTGGTAGCATATGCTCAAACGGAAAGTCTCACCATTCTCATCTTTAAGGAACCTTCTGGATGCGCTGCTCCTCCTTCTGGCAGTTCACGTTAGATTAATTAATTGTTGCCAATACCATAATTAAAAGGCATGTTATCAGGAAGATGGATTGACATTGTGGCTGTTCCATTGGGCTGTTTTAACATTGTTTGGCTGTAAATTGAAGCCAACGTGATGATGGTGCCTCACAGCAGCATCATGGGAGTTGGGTATCTGCCAATAAATGCAGGAAATGATAGTGATTTGAAAGCAAAAATGTGGTTAGGGTACATGGACCAGATGAGAGAATACTTAAGTTTGGATTAAAGTGGCAAACATTTATTTAAAAAAAAACAAACCAAAAAACAAACTCAAAACATAAAGAAGGAAATACTCAACTCACTCATAATTGACCATCCAGCAGGTTTGCACATCTTTTTCTTGCAGAACCAGTGGTGGGTTCCCACTGGCAGAGGAGGTAGGCATTGCAACTCTCTATGGGACTTTACTAGCCGAGCTCCCTTAAGTGACTTCTAGACAAGTGGTGACATAGAAAAGTCACCGTTAATATTTGAGAATTTCTTAGTCTTTGTATGTCTTCCATAGTTGAAAGTATTTAAAAAAAGTTCTTCGGTTAGCTTTTCATAAGCTTTTTCTCATTAAGTAGTTTTCTAGATGTGATTTTCATGATTACTATAACACATTGATATGTTTAACCATTTAGCTGTTGATTATTTCGTTTATGTTCATATTTTTTGTTCTTAGAAACGTCGTAGACATTTTGCACAAACCTTTGTCCTAAATAAAAATCTAGTAATGAAGCCGTACTTCTCGTAGCTTGAAAGCTCATTTTCTTACTATCTTCAGATCTCAGTCATTTCTGACCACCAATTTTAAATGGAATGCCTTTTTTCTTAAACTCGTTTGTTTGCTTATCTTTATTTCCTTTTTCATCTCTTCTTGATACTATATATTTCATTTGTTACCTTTTCCACCATACCAGAATATAAATTTTACAGAGAAAAACTCTAAAGTTTTACTGTTGTATACCAGACACCTACTTGGGGGTGGGGTGGTTCCTAAGATATTGTCACTAAGTATTCATTATGAATGGAAGAATCTTGAAAGAATTATTCTTTCAATGAATGTGAATGTTAATGAATATGAACATTTGTAAGGCTTTTGATACACTCTACTAAATTACTTTCCAAAAAGGTTATAGTAATTTATATTTCCACTGACAATGTATAAAGAATTTTTTTTTCCCTTTTGAGGGGAGTTAAGTTTAGTTTTAGAAAAACAAGTATATATAGATCTAATAATCAGATGATGTTTGTGATGGTAAAGCTACAAGCAAAGACAAGGAAGTATGAAACCACATGATACATTCAAGGAATTACAAAGGGTGCATAAGACAAATATGTAAGGTTTAACCAATGAAGGGAAGGCTTTGAAGATTATTAAGAGGAAAAATATTTACAATAGCACATTTTGACTGCAAAATATTGAAGTAGCGAGTCTCAAACTTAATCATTTGAACACCCAAAAAACACCACAAACCTCAAATTTGAGGGCCATGAATTTGAATTGTTTTCATTTTTTGTTAGTGTGGGAAACAAGTAATGAAACTTTTTGGGCATGCTAACCCAGAAGCTGCACTCCTGTGGTTTGAGTCTACCAGCCGCTCCTCAGGAGAAAAATGGGCAGACTCGTCCCATACAGTTTACAGGCTCTGAAACTTGTTGAAGCATAACGTTTGAGATTAAGGCAAGAGATGAAAATGAAGATTTTTACCAGTGTCTCTAGACAGAAATTTATATATGCAGTCAAGAGTCATTGATAATTGCTATCTTAATGCAAAAGTTAAAAATCATCAGTACAATATAAAAATATTTTCATATATATGGTATAGTGTATATACATATATAGTATATGTATATAGTGTATATTCATATATAGGGTATAGTGAAGTTCATGATGGAATTTTTTATGCACCTCCACATTATTTGTTGCAAACAAACACATTTTTCATCAATGTAAGTTAATATATGTTGAAGGTTGGCACAGGCTAGAATGGCATTTAGAGCTCTTGTACATAGGGTCGCTATGAGTCGCAAGCGAATCGATGGCACATAACAAACAGCAATAAGTTAATATATATATGAAGTTTATTGGATGAAAGATATAGTAATCAAGTCAACAATAGAACATCTCAATGTTGTTTGTCAAAGCGAAGCCTAAGGACTGACTAGGATAGGCCATCAATTATTCATATACAAGTTGTAGAAAATTAAAACAAGTCCACAAAAGCCAAAATACTACCTTCATTATATCCTGTGTCAGTTTAGAAACATCTTTGAATGCTATTGGGCAAGGATTAGACAAAGTGAAGGCAGGTGTCAAGGACATCATACATGAGGAAAGCAAAAAGCCATTTTTTTTTTAAAAAAAAAGCCATTTTTAAAAAGACAGGAATAGGCCAAAATAGTTGCCAAAGGAAACTCTGACGCTTGGCTTCTAAACATAAATAAGGTGAATAGTAGAAATGAAGTAGAAGAGTTGAATAGAAGATTTTAAAGGGTGCCTTGAGAAAACTAATGTATTAGAATGTGATAGACCAAGATCTGGAGTTAAAAATTCAGTAGGGAAGTGCATGCTTAGAATTTCTCAAGCTGAACTGTCAAAAGAATCAGTCTCTGTCTTGGTGGAAGTGCCATCAAAGTGCTCCTTGAAGACAAGGATGGTGAAACTTCCTCTTACATACTTTGGGCATGTTGTCAGGAAAGGTAAATCCTTGGAAAAATATGTCATTCTGGGAAAGTTGAGGATCAGGGGAAAAGTGGAAGACTGTTAGATGGATTGACACGGTTAGCTATAACAGAACATGAAAATGTCACGAAATAAGGCTCAAATCTGTTGTTGATTGGTTCATTCTATAAGTCTTCAACTGGACGACACCTATTAACTGCAACAATAATATACAGATGACAGATGAAACAAACTCATAGCTGACCCTCCACCAAATTTTCAGGGGCAGTAAATCACATGGGAGGAGACTGGCAGTTTTTCTTCTGTTGAGCAATGCTGCATTTGAACTACATGCCGTTGGATTAGCTGTACAACTCCTTACCACTAGAGCTCCCTGCTAACAGACCTCTGACCTAGGCCATCGAAGTTGCCCACTGCTTGCAAATGCCAAACAATAAATAAGGAAGACTAATGGAAGCATGAATCATTTTCATTATGGTGTTGGTGGTGAAATTTGCCAGAATAATAGATCTCTTGAAAGAAGTACAGCCAGAAGACTCGTTAGAAGCAGTGACGGCAACATTATGTCTCACATGCTTTGAACATATTTTCAAGATAAACCAGTCTGTAGAGACATGTCGTTGAAAGAGACCCTCAGCAAGCAGGATTAAATATAGCAATGATTATGAGGATGGCACAGGACTCAGCATTCAAGATATCAAAGGATATATTGCTTTGGGCAGATTTGTTGCAAGATACCTCTTTTGAGATTTGTTCTATTATTTTAGTACAATTCAGGCCATGCATGGTCATTCCGATCACTTGCTCTGCATCTGAGAGTTGGACAGTGAATAAGGATTACAGAAGAATTATTGACATCTTTGAGATATAGTGTTAGAGAAGAGCACTGAACATCCATTCCATGGATGGCCAAGAGAACAAACAAATTATTATGTCTTGGAAAGGGTACAGCTGGAGTGCTCTTTGGAGCTTCAGATCACATACTTATACTTTGGGTATGTTCCTAGGAGGGGCTATTCCTTAGAGAAGGACATGATGCTGAGAAGGGTTGAGGGTTGAAAAAGGAGAAGACGACCGTCAACGAGGTGGTTTGACACGGTGACTGCTGCAGTGGGCCCTTGTATGTCAGGAAGTGTGAGGATGGCATAGGATAGGACAGGGTTCAGGTCTTCTGTTCGTAGGGTTGCTATGAGTTGTACTCATGTACTTAACACAGTGACTGCCACAGTGGGCTCTAGTGTATCAGAAAGGCGTGAAGATGGCACAGGAAATGTAAGGTCACTATGAATTGTACTTGACGGCACCTAACAATAATAATTGAAACAATAAAAATTTTAAGTTAAAAAAAAGGCAATTTAGATCAATTGACAATATAACTACAAAATAGTAGCAAAATCATGGAATATAAATTCACAAATGTTTAAATATTACATGATGTGAAAAAAGTTATCTTAGTAATATATTCTCATTTCTTTGAAGATAACCATGCGTTAAATTCATACGGACTTTATTGTGTAAAAAAATACCGTAATGAAGGTCAGAATTCTAAAGAAATCTTGTCTGCTTCTGGATGAATGCAGTTTTGTCAGTTTTCTGAAAATGTTAATAAATGTGTGAAATGATGATAAAGCATTTAGGTTTTTTGCCGTTGGAGTTGTCCTTTAGATAGACTAATGTACTACCACTGATCTGTATTTATCAAAGTTCTCTTAATTTATGTTTTAATACCTTTGAAATGTGAAATTGTGTCTTTAATAAATTTTTTATAGAATTTAAAAAAAATACACAAATCTAGAGAGAAGAATTGAATGGACTCTTTATTTTCACCAGTGTTGACAGTTATCGACACATAGTCGGTAGTAGGGTTTATGGGTTTTGGGGGTTTTTTAAAAAAAACTGTTCTCTCACTCCTAGTCATTCTGATTTTTTTTTTTAGGCAAATCAGACCATTTTATTTATAGTTGGTATGTATGTTACAATCAGTATAATTGTGAAAACCTATCCCTTTAATTGTTGCAGGACACCTTGACGTTTAGGCCATGGCGACTATAGAAGAAATTGCACATCAGATTATTGAACAACAAATGGGAGAGGTATGTCTGCTTTGTATCTCATTCCCTGACTCACCAAATGTTCATGACTTAGACTAAGTATAGATGATATATTTTAGAGATAGCAAGATTAAGATACCTGATTTTTACATAGCTTTCATTCTCCTGAGAGGTAGTCGAATACTCAATCACAGTAGAATACAATCAGTACTGAGATAGATAATTATAAAGTGTATAGTGCTTGCTTCAGCAGCACATATACCAAAATTAGAATGATACAGAGATTAGCATGGCCCCTATGCAAGGATGACATGCAAATTTGTGAGGTGTTCCATATGTTTAAATCCTGTTTTGGAGGGTACACTAAAAGGCCATGAGTAAAGTAACCAATAGCAATATTCCTGGACACAGTGGACAAAGACATAAGGATAAGCATTTTGCCACTATAATATCCTATATACTTAAAGTTGAATTTGAGCAAAGAAATAAATCAATGCCAGATTAAAAAAAGAATTGGAAAAGTGTATAAAGCACAAAAACCCTCAAACTGAATGCCGAGGAGCTAGGCATTTAGAACCAGCTCATCACTGACGTTCCAGCAAGTTTTCAGAGACTGTAAATTGCCTTTGAAATTTATAGAGAGGAAAGGGCCTCTTTTTTTGCCTCAGGGATCACAAGAATGGGGCTGGGTAGAGCAAGATGAGATATGTTCATGGGGTTGCTGTGAGTCATAACACAGAAAGAAAACGGTTTATAGTCATAGAAACTTGAGAGTGGTGTCTCGGTCTTGGTCAGGGGATGCTTTTAAGAAAGCAAAATCTTAGACCAGAATTGATGGGCAAGGTGTTAATTGATACCAGTAGAAACAGTTTTGTTTTCTAAATGGCCATACATTTCTTCTTGGTAAAACCAATTATATCCAATTCATTCCAGCTCCTAAGACAAGTGGCTTTTAAAACAACAGTCTCTAAGGCTGTAATCTTTATAGTAACAGATTGCTAAATCTTTCACCCAGAGTGCCTGGTGTATTAAGACTGTTGATATTTCAGTTAGCAGATGACTACTTGAACCACCATGCCACCAGAGCACCTCATTTATTGATATAGGGTCCCTTTCAGAAAGTCAGAGAGGAGGAAACCAGTTTTTCTAATGCTTACAGTGTTACTTGCCATTTTAGTTTTCAAGTGTACATTAGAATTTTCCAGGCTCTTCAGTAGCTATCATCTGAAGATGTTATATGATGAAATGCATCAGAATTTAAAAGGTCCACATAACTCACTGAGCCCTTATTTTTCAGATGACCAGTATATGTTACAATATCATATATGGCTCAGAGATCTGTTTAAAGTCCAAGGTTGTTGTTAATGTGCCGTCAAGTTGCCTTCAACTAATAGCGACCCTATGTACAATAGCCCTAAACTCTGACCTATCCTGTGCCAATCTCACCATCTCCAACACACCTACCCCCATTACCGCAGTCACTGAATCAATCCATCTCATCAAGGGTCTTCCTCTCCTGCGCTGTCCCTCCACCCTTCCAAAGCATGATGTCCTTCTCCAAGGACTGGTCCCTCCTTGCAACATGTCCAGAGTATGTCAGACGAAGCTTCAGAATCCTTGCCTCCAAGGAGCAGCCTGGCTTTACCCTCTCCAGGACAAATCTGTTTGTTTTCCTAGCAGTCCATAATATATTTAATACTCTTCTCCAAAACCACAGCTCAAAGGCATCAATTCTCCTTCTATCATCCCTAGTCATTGTCCAGCTCTCTGATGCATGGCAAGTGATTACAAAGACCATGACTAGTGGATTTTAATACAATTTTAGGTTCTACATTGCAGCTAACTTTTATTTAAAAAAAAAAATTAATTTATGCCAGTTTGTATACATTGTTTTTCTGCAGCTAACCTTTAAAGAATCATGACATATTGAAATTTAGTGTTCTACCAAAGAACCTCTTCAGCGTTTTAGAGAGGCACCTGACCGCAGACTTACCTAATTCAGTATGTCTCCTGATTTCCTGACTACTGGATCCAAGGGCATTCATTGTTGATCCAAGCAAGATGAAATCATTGATATCAATCCTTTCTCCATTTGTCACACTGGTCCTCTGGTAAGGACCTTTGTTTTCTTGATTCAAGTGTAATCCATACCAAAGATTGTAGTTCTTGATCTTCTGCAACAAATGTTTCATATTCTCATAGGCCCTGGTCTTTTAAGTAACCCACTTTGCAACAGAAAGCTGCACAATGAATAAGGATGACAGAAGAAAAATTGATACCTTTGAGTTGGGTGCTAGAGAAAAGTGCTGAATATCCTGTGGGCTGTGAAAAGAACAACAGATACGCCTTGGAAATGTGAAACCAGAGTGCTCCTTGAAGGCAAAGATGGTGAAGCTTCATCTTTTATACTTTGGACATGTAGGTAGGCGAGGCTGTTCATTGGAATGATAGATCATCCTTACAAAGAGAGCAAAACTGCCAATAGGATGGATTGACACAGACTTCCACACTGAACTCCAGTGAATAAATGATGAGAATGGCATAGGATAGGCAGGGTTGAGGGCGGCTGTTCGTAGGGTCATTATGCATTGTACTCAACAGCACCTAACAATAACATTTTTTCTTATGGAAAGTCATTAAAGTACATTTTCACCCAATAAATGAGTAAGGTTACATTTTTCTTCATATGTTGCAACCTGACAACATATAATAAATTGAATAAAAAATTAACTATGAAAAGCTAGCTGTGTTCCATAATAGTGCCAGACATTGGAAAAAAATCAGATTCATTGTCATTGAGTTGTTTCTAACTTAAGGTGAAGCTCCTTCTGGTTTCCAAGACTTTAAATCTTGATAGGAGAAGACTAGCCATGTTCCTCCCAGCTAGTGGTAGATTCAAACCAAAGGTCCATGACAGTTTGGTTAGCAGAGCAACATGCTGTGGAATACACCATTAAAACTCTTAGGCATTAAAGAGATTGGCAAGAAATGTAAAACAGTGCCGCCCTCCCACCTACGTATTTTCATGCAGGAAAACAACAAAAAATGTTTTTCTTTTAAGTAAATGACACACTTAAACTTCTCAGTTTTAATTTTATAATGATGACTCTAGGCAGCCAGACAAACAAAGGGGCATTTATGCCTCACTAATTTTTTTCAGGTTTAAAGTGTCCCAAAGAACTGCTTCTATGGTTTCTTTCTTTTTCCTCTCTGTTAAAGGTCATACAGATTATCATAGTTATCAGTTACTATAGTTACTCTGCATGAGTATCCTTTACTCAGCTAAGCAAAATGTTATATTTGCTTCCTGAGAGAATCTAATAATGTTTTCTGTAAGAAATAAAAGTGAACCTTTTTTTGTCTTTTATTTGCAATGAATATTAATGAGAGAAATGGTTCTAAGTGAAACTGACAATAGCTTAAACTATGCATGTCAAACTTGGTGATAAATGATTTGATTTCAAGTTACATTGAAAATTGCAAAAATTGTCAAGGTGATAAGAAATTACTTGATAGAAATAACCATATAAAGTAAAATTGACAGTTGTTAAAACTATACCTAGAAAAAATAAGACATAGTGGAAAGAGTTGTCACCAAAGGGAAAAAATGACTCAAGGAATGTTTTGTTCTGTGTACATATGGTCGTCTTAGTCAGATGACTTTTATATAGACTTTTTAAAAAGATTTTCTACTAGTTTATTTACAAAATTCAGATACATTGTTTATATAGACTCTTAGCAATTCTCAGTTCAATTTGAGTAGTGAAGCAGATTGTTTTAAATTCTATATGGATAAAATATTGATAATTTTAAAAAAATGAAACACTTTAACTTTACCATTTTAAAAAATGAATCCTAGGATTAAACTGGCAATAGTAAAGTTACTCTAGAAATACTTGTTCCACAACTAAAGTCTTCAGTGCTGGGATCCAAGCCAAATGCCATCAAGTCACACAAGCCTCCGTTGGGTTTCTAAGGCTAAATCTTTACCAGAGGAGAATCCCCTTTATTCTCCCAAAGAACAACCAGGAGACTTAAACGGCCAACCTTGCAGTTTAGCAGCCTGATAATATTCTTCACTGCATTGCCAGGATAGTTCTGTTTACTGGTGAACTTGTTCTTCCCAGACTACTCTATGATAGTACATGGCATTACTGTTTTCGTAGTTCCTCAGACCAAAAAGACATTTTTTGTAGGCCAAAAATTTCATAGTACTTGATTCTTTTCTTTATAGTCTGCTTCCACTTTTATCAGCACATCTGTCACCTTTGCCTTCAAAAATCTGAATTCCAGTGTCTCTTCACTCCCTTTCTGTTCCAGGCTATTGTGATTTCTTTCTGGTATTTCTGAAAAGTGTCTTTTCTCTCTCCTCGCTGTATTTTTGAATCTTCAGAATTGTCTTATACTAAGACTATAATAGTATTTTTCAAAGACCCTACCAGTCGTTGTTCCAAACCTTCCAGGCGGTTTTCCATTTCACACAGTAGGAAATTCAAACATTTGCATGTCCTGTGAAATTCTTCAATCAAAAGACAGATTGCATTGGGGAAATGTGCTATCAAGGACCTCACTGGAATGCTAACTAATGCATGGATGTCCGTTTTCAAGATTTACAGTGTTTCTGATCCAAGCCATGGTATTTTTCAATTTTTTCCTATGCATCTGAAAATTGAACAATGAATAAGGAAGACCAAAGAAGAATAGTTGCCTCTGTATTGTGGTGTTGGGTTAGAGTATTAACTATGCCATTTGCTGCAAAAAGAACAAACAAGTCTGTCTTGAGAGAAGTGCAGCTGGAGTGCACCTTAAAGTCACACTTCATCTCACGTGCTTGGGTGTTTTTTTTCAGGAAGAACCAGTCTTGAAGAGAGATCATGCTGGGAAAGGTAGAGAGTCAGTGAAAGAAAGGAAGATCCCCAACAATGTGGATTGACACAGACTATCACAGTGGATTTGAGCACAAGAGAGACAGTGAGAGTGGTGCAGGAAAAAGGGCATGGTTCACATTTGTTGATCATAGGTATGAGTTGTAGTCAACTCAGTGGCACCTAAGAAAACAGCATGAAGTCCTACATAAGCTGTGGTGTTCATAGTGTGTAAGGAGATGGACTGCTAACCCAAAGTCTGCACCTCTCTGGTGATTTGATTCCACTAGTGGCTCTATGGAAGAAAATGTGGACAATTTCCTCTTGTGCAATTTACAGCCTTAAAAAATGTGTGGAAGGGTCAGCTATGAGTCAGGACTTAGGAGACAGCAATGAGTTGAGTTACTTGAGGTCTTTATGATTTGACCTGCAGCTGTTACTTAAATCCTTCTCTGCCTTTTTTCTGTTATACAGCTCTCTTTTGTTCTTGGTGCCTCAGATATGCCACACACATTCCCCTTGTGCCTCAGCGTCCTCTTACATGTTATTTCTTCTCTCTGAATGTTTTCCACTTGGTAATCCTAAACCTCTGTGGAAATTTAAGGCTGTGCTTCCCTCAGCTCAGTGCTGTTGAGTCAGAACTGATTCATAGCTGACCCTCCACTAGGTTTTCAGGAATTGTACACATCGAGGAGGACATTGCCCGTCTTTGTCCTGCAGAGCATCTAGTGGATTTGAATATTTGAATTGCTAGAGAACCACCTCCTTTGAGTTAGCAGCATAACTACCTAGTAACTACCTAGCCATTAGGCTGCCAGTTTTCCTACACAGCTTGCTTCTTTCCTTCCTTCCCTCCCTCCCTTCCCCTCTCTCTTCCCTTCTTTCTTCCCCCCTTCCTTCATTCTTCTCTCCTTCTCTTCCTTTCTCTCCCTCTACCTTTGCCTGCCTTTGTTTTTCTTCATGTTTGTTATTGTCTTGGGTTGTTGTTTGTTTATTTTTAAATCTGTCTCTCCCCCACTGATAATGAAAGCTTCATGGTAGCAGTGATTTTGTTTCCCTGACTGCTATATCCTAGGACCCAAAACAGTTCTTGGCTTCTAGTATCTGTTTATCCAGGAGCTTTCTTTCAAAATGGAAGAAAGAAATCAAAGTAGTGAGGTCACAATTTTATTATTTTGCCTTCATATATTTTTTTGCCTTCATTTTTTTGTATAGTTGTTTTTTCTAACAGTACAGAATTTTGCTCTTTCAAAATGTGTTTATGTGCTATGTTGAGATAGATATATAAAATGGTATACTTATCTAGCTTTGTCTGAAGACAGAAAATTTCATTATTAAGGTAAAAAAAGGTTTATTAAGTGCTTACTAACTACATATGATTTTGTAAGATTGTTACAGAGCAACAAAGTGGCCAGAAAATCCAAATCGTGACAGGACTTGATCATAATACACAAGGCAAGCAGTTCATTCTGACCAATCACGATGGCTCTACTCCAAGCAAAGTCATACTGGCCAGGCAAGATTCCACTCCAGGAAAAGTTTTTCTCACAACTCCAGATGCAGCAGGAGTGAACCAGTTATTTTTCACAACACCTGATCTCTCTGCACAACACCTCCAAGTACGTAACTCTCATCTTATAATTTAAAAACATAAGTGTAAGTCCTGCTGTTAAGATCTTACATATGTGTTAATTCAGTTATTGTTGTTGTGGAGTACTGTTGAGTTGGAACTTACTCATAGCTCACCGTCCGGCAGTTTTCAGAAGCACTTAGTCACACAGGAGGAGATGGCCCATCCTTCTCCCACAGAGCAGCTGGTGGCCTCAACCCGTGTGCCCTTGGGATTGCAGTGCAGCTTCTTGCCACTAGGCCACCAGAGCTCCCTAATTCAGTAGGGGGGAAAGTAAACCTTCATAAAATTGATGGTGATTGCCCTCTTCCTAGTGTAATTTTTATACAACCCTATACTTGGGATGGTTATTTTTTTTTTACCCATTCTGGAGAAAAGGAGTTAATAATAGATTTAGCTGTTTTATAGAATTGTTAGAAAGGCTGAAGAAAAAAATCCTAGGATAGGCTTCCCTGATTAACTGTTTTAGCATGTTCTCCGAGGCCTGCTGCTTCTACATAATTGAAAAATTGCCATATCAGAGGTGTTGTCTGCAGCTCAGTTTCCAGAACCGGCCTGCCTGTGACAGAAAGGAAGGTGCCAAATTAAGCCAGTGCTACAGCTTCCACCTTCAGTGCTTTCACCCACGTTGTCACTGACTTAGGACATACTCTGCTCTTCTGTTTGCAGCATCTTCTTCAGACTTCACTTTGGAACTCAAGACAGTATTGTAGATTCACTTTACATAATTATGATTTTTGTTAGTTAGACGTTATGCTTCAACAAACCAGTTTCCCCTTTGACCCATGCATGCTTTGGTAATGTGAAGATAGTCACATTGTGGATAGTTATGCTTGAGCATAAATACAATGCACCATTAGGTTTGCCCTCAGAGACTCTATTCTAGAGGAGAATTTACTTTAAATGATGTTAGGAATTATGATGAAAAACTGATGAAAGAAAACTACTCTTGAGGAGCTTCTCATTTCTAAAATAGTAAAAAATATTGAAGTTTTATCTCTGTTTCTGGATTAAATTTTGTTCTTCTGGTGATCTAGAGATAAGGAGCTGGAATGTAATCCTAAAGGCACCCAGTTTGAATCCACCAGCTTCTCTGTGGGAGAGCGATGAGCAGTCTCCTCTCATGCAGATGACTGCTTCTGAAAACTCACTGGAGGGTCAGCTATGAGTTGATTCCAGCTCAGCAGTGCACAATATCATTTACGTTGTTTATAGGAACTGCTAAAGTAAATAGACTTAATATTTTTTTTAAAAAATTACAGATTTACAGAAAAATTGGATGTATGGTTATCCCTCACCCTGCACACATACAATTAACATTTTATATTGGTGCAGTTCACTTAAGTATTGAGTGAATGTAGTACTGCTCACTGAAAAATGAGCCCTAGAGATGGAGTTGTTAAGTGGTCAACTGCTAAGAGGTCAGCAGTTCGAATTCGTGAAAGAGGAGATGTGACATTCTACTCTTGTAAAGATTTCAGCCTTGGAAACCCTACAAGGCAATTCTATCCAGTCCTGTAAGGTCACTTTGAGTTTAAATCAATTCAGCAGCACACAACAATAATGTTATTAACTAAAGTTTTGGTGGTGGTGGTTTATGGTGTTGTTTTTGTATTTTGTTTTTAGATTTCCTCGGTTTTTACTAAATTTTGGGGAGCCAGAATCCCATCTAGAATACATTAACACGTTTTCATTTACAAGGTCATGACAAGTTTTGAAGACCTTAATAGGGTGTCAGGAAATGTGAAGATGGCACGGGATAGGACAGAGTTTGAATCCGCTGTTCACAGGGTCACCATGAGCCATACTCAACAGCAGTAGCTTACAAGATTACTAGTCAAGTTTATTGTGGAGTGCTTTATTATGGGACTTTGATGTTTTTCTTTGTTTAGATGGGGGTTGTAGATAATAGGGCCAAAAATAGTGTCAGTGTTGAGTACTGTCAAATTGGAACCTACCCATAGCTGACCCTCCAGCAGGTTTTCAAAGCCAGTTTAATTACATGGGAGGATTGCCCATCTTTCGCATATGGAGCAGCTAGTGGATTTGAACTTACTTCCTTTGCGATTGCAGCACAGCTTCTTACCAGTAGGCCACCAGTGCTCCATTGTTGAGAGCAGAAAATAAGAGAAATAACATGCCATCCTGTCACAGTGCATTAAGTATAATGATTTAAGTACTTAAATCAGGGTCATTTATGATTGATGATGTTGATTTTAAGCATTTAGCTGACACAGATTACTTCACTGTAAAGTCATTCCTTTTAAAAATATTTTTCAGTTATTGATAGGTGGCTATTTTATAACTCTTCTCTGTAGCAGGAAAAAAGAAAACATGTTAAAATGGAATTCTGAACTAGGAATCAAATAATTTGATTTTTAATCTTTTGAACAAAAATGGAATGTGGGCAAGTCTCATAAGTTCTCAAAATTTCTTCTGCCCTTATTACTGACAATAGCTATGCAACTAAGAGATGTTACGATATTTATAGAAACTTTCAAAGAACATCTAATACCAGGACGTTTTGGTTATTTTCCCCAAAATTTTTATTAAAGATTTTATTGATTGAGAAGAAATAATACCACAGATAACCCTATAAGGGATAATAATTTAAGAGACTTTAAGAATTTAAATATTTTAACTTTTTTATTTATTATTTAAATACTTAACTTCTTAAGTCAGTATTATTCCTGAAGGGATTTACACCCCAAGTGAAGAAAGAATCTATAGTAGAAAATTTTACTTTGTAATTTGTTTTAAATCAGAGGGGACGATGTTTACTAAATGCATATCACTCTTAATTGATGATTTGAAGATTAGAAGAAACTGATGAGAAAGTTGAAAAACAGCCTGAAGAAGGAACTAGTATACCTTAAGTCTAATCTTTATGACTCTGTGGTGGCCTAGTGGGTAAGGAGTTAACAGTGGTAACCAAAGGCAGGCTTTTTGTTTGTTTTTAGCTTTTTTTGGTATCGTTATGGGGTTTTTTTGGTTGTGTACCATAAAATCTGATCCAATTGGCACAGGAAGAGATTGCCCTGCGAAGCATTTGGTGGATTCACAGCATGTTCCTTGGAATTACAAGGCAGGCGTTTTGAATTCAGTCTACCAACTGCTTCATAGGAGAAAGATGAACACTTTCCTCACATGTGGTTTTCAGCCTCTGAAAACTTGTTAGAGGATCAACTATAAATTGGTTCTGACTGAACAGCACATAACAATAATCTTTATATGATTAAAAGAATCTAAATAATTTGGTCAAGGGTATTCTACTTTGCCTCAGTTTTTGTGACTGACTTGCTAACCTTGATAGACTGCGTCTGTACGCTCAACTCCTGCATCAGAGTCAAATTAGTTCTTTAATGAAACTTTTCAGTCTTTGTATAATCATATTTGTTTTATTTAAACTAATTACACCAATAAAACTTTTTAAAAAAATAACTCTTTTTCTACATTAAAAATTAAGGGTTATAATTTTATGCCGTTCCATAGCATTGACATGATTCAATCATGCCATTCCATGTGCAAATTGTGTTTTCTTCAAAGACAAATGTTATATTAAGATTGATTAAATACTATAAAAACTTATATAAAAATTTAACTTACACTGGAGAATTAGATGGTTGTAAAGCATTGGCACATGCCTCCTGTATTGTATGCTGGATAGTCTGATTATGTTAATGAAAGTATTACATTAAAAATAAAAAATGTTTAGTTTTTATAATATATAGAGAGCTCAGGATTTAAGAATAAGTTTTAAAATAAAGTTTAAAAAGAACATTCTTTTGATTTTTCTTGACAGAATAATACTGTTGTAACAAGTTTTATTATTTTGCTTTTTAGCTCTTAACAGATAATTCTTCTCCAGATCAAGGTCCAAATAAGGTTTTTGATCTTTGTGTAGTATGTGGAGACAAAGCATCAGGTAACTTTAAAAATAACCTCCTACTTGTAACTTTAAAAATAACTTCCTCCTTATATTGTTATAATAATTGTCTGTCATATTTCTTCAGTTAAAAGTAAAAAGAAAAGGATTATGTAGTGTTTAGAGTAAATGTGTTCGTAGCGTCTGATCACTTAAAAATATTTTCTCACTTGAATGCAATTTAATTGGTCTTTTAAGTGGCAATGGTTTTATCTTTTTAAAACTAAACTAAGGGAAAAGATTTTTAATATGAAATCAGATTTTTTGTCCAAGAAATCATTTAAAAGTGAATTGTGATTCTTAATAATTATTAAGTACTATTCTGATTCTAGGACTGAAGAGTAAGTTTAGTTTATGAGTTGGGGAGAAAACTCTGGTTGGCATTCCTTACTGCTGACGGGAACTCTGTTGGCTTTGTCTGTAGAGTGTTGGGCTGTTAACTCAAAACCCACTTGCTCCTTTCCTCTGGAGATCCAAAACAAAGTTATGTAGGAGAATGATGGGCATTCTCCTCTCATGATTTACAGCCTTGGAAACCAGCTCACTAAGCAAGCATTTCTCAAAGCCTATCTTATTTTAGTTACTTTAGAGCAAAAGTGCTTACTTTTGTCCGTGTGTGTATCTGTCCTGTCTACAAATGCCAATGGGATGTAATTTCAGGCTACACTTATTTTCTTTTACTCTTCTGTCTTTTCCACACTTCATTACAAATACTTCCTGTCAAGCTTTTTCCAGGGTGTACTTGATTTCTTAAGAAATACACAAAAGTAGGGAGCTCTGATGGTCTAGTGGCAAGAAGCTGCTCTGCAGTCTCGAAGATGAGTGGTTCGAATCCACCAGATGCTCCCCTGAAGGAGGAGGGGCAGTCTCCTCCTGTGCCAGTCAAATCTTATTTGACCGTAAACAAGAAAAAGAAAGAAGGAAGAAAAATAAAAAAACAATACACAAAAGAAATGGTTGTGCAATGATGGGTTAACCTAAATAAGGCAGATCCCTCCAGAAATTTCAAAAGTAGAAATCAAAGATAAGAGAAATCCCATTTTTTTAATACTACCTGGCATATTGCATTTATAACAGGAGCTGCTTCTGGAGCATAGCCTTCAAAATAAAGTACATGCTTTACAATGAATAATAAAACTGTAGTTTCTGATTGATAGTAGAAGAGAAAACAGTTTTATTTTAAATAATGCAACTGTGGATTCTTTTGTTCTTAATTTTTCTGTGCTTTTGTTAAGATCACTTTCAAATGTTAAAAAAACTCACTTTTTTATTTATCAGAGAATAGTTGTTTGCTTTTCTGTTTAGTGACAACCGAAATATTTTCATAAACTCAGAAGTGTAAGACTTTTGTATTTTGTTGTATAAAGAGAAGTAATGGATGTGTTTCATTTCTGTCGTATAAGTAATTTTTATTTACTTAAATGTTTTTTTCTTTAGGGCGTCATTATGGAGCAGTAACTTGTGAAGGTTGCAAAGGATTCTTTAAAAGAAGCATCCGAAAAAACTTAGTGTATTCATGTAGAGGATCAAAAGACTGTATTATCAATAAACACCATCGAAACCGCTGTCAGTACTGCAGATTACAGAGATGTATTGCATTTGGAATGAAACAAGACTGTATGTATTAAGAGAGAAGATACTTTAAAATATTCAGGAAAATGGAAGTATATTAACAGTTTCCTAAGATGATAATAACTAACAGGGATTGAGCATTCGTTATGATTGACACTTTTAATCCTGTATTGTAACTTGTACATAGCAGTTCCTCAGTTATCTTTCTACTTTTGCATAAATAAAACCTATCTTACTCCAAGTCACAAAACTAATAAGTGGCAGAATTTATATTTTAAAACCTAGCAGTCCCCCTTCCCTTAAAAATGCATATTTAACAGCTACACTATACTATAGCATAACAAGGTCCTTGAAGTAAAATTCTTATAAAGAGAAGTGTTACCTATAGAGGCCGTGAAATTGCATTTTTTTCCCCCTCTAAAATCTTCCTGCCCTGTTTATAAAAAGATCTCACTATTAAATTCTTTTCAGATGATTAAATTTCTCTTCATTGTTTGAAAACATTTGTGTGTATGTATGTATGTAAAGAATTTCGTAACTAAAGATTGATCATTATCTTGGCACTTCAGGTAGAGTAAGCGTGTCTCCCATTAACAGCAATACTAATCTAGATTTTATAGTTATGCTTTATATTTGCATTATAATACAAAAATACATATTTTTATAGCTGTTCAATGTGAAAGAAAACCCATTGAAGTATCCAGAGAAAAATCATCGAATTGTGCTGCATCAACAGAAAAAATCTATATTCGAAAAGACCTTCGAAGCCCACTAGCTGCAACTCCAACTTTTGTAACAGATAGTGATACAGCAAGGTATAGTAAAAAATTAATTAAGTAGCTACTTCTTTGCTCTTCTTTGCAGTGAAACTAAAGCTGTACTTATCTGTTACAGGTCAGCAGGACTCTTAGATTCGGGAATGTTTGTGAACATTCATCAGTCTGGAGTAAAAACTGAGTCAACTATGCTGATGACACCAGATAAGGTGTGTTTGATTAAATTAACTTAAAACATAAAATTTTTATGTTTAAAGTTTTTCCAGTTCTTTCGTCTCCGACATTAATATGACCATTTGACTTCATCATAAAAGAGTTCTCAATTACGATTTGCCCTCCTCTTTTTTCCAGCATAAGTTAGGCCTCTTTGGTACACAAGGTCATTATTCCACTAGGACAATCCAGAGTTTCAGTGTGAAAATGCTAAATATTTAGTAAGTCTTAAAGTTTTCTTTCATCTTGAAATAAATTTCCCAGAGAAGAGCTCATAATGATTGTAAAATATTTTTATTCCTTTTATGCTCCCCTACAGATTGTGAAGTACCAAAATAAGTAAAAACCTTTTGGTAAAGAGAAATTCTTTACTCACACCACTCAAAATACTCAAGATTGAGTATGAATGAGATTGTAACAGTGGCATGTCTGTAGGGAGTTCTGATTCTAACCCAAAGATGACACCTTTCTACTATTTTGAATCCATTAGTGGCAATCTTCTCCCCTGCATATTACAGTGTCCTGAAAACCCCCTGGACAGTCAGCTGCTTGTCAGTTCCACCCTGACAGCAGTGAGGAAATGTGTGAGTGTGTGTATCCAAGTCCTTTGCGTTATATTAAATATTGGAACAGTTTTTAAAGTTACATTGTGAAATTTTAGGAAGATTAGTGTTTTACCTTATGATGTGATCTGGCTCTTTATAACTTTAATAAGTTTATTCACCTTAGGTATTGCTAGATTTGTTATTTACGATATTCTCTATACCACCACCCTGCAGAGACTCCAAATATCTAACCTCATGTAGACAGGGACAAAGCTGGAGGATTCACACTTCCTGATTTTAAAACATATACTAACCATAATCATAACAGCCTGATACCTGGTGTAGTAGTAAAGACATGGACAATACAAGTCCAGGAATAAACCCATAAATCTACTGTCAGGTGATTTGGCAAAAAAGCTAAATGTATTCAATGAGAAAACAATCTGTTGAATAAATAATGTAGGAGAAAATAGGTTTTCCACTCATAGAAAAATTAAATATCATCTGTGTCTCATCTGACACCATTGACAGAAAACAAAAACAGATTAAAGACATAAATATTAAAACCAACTTTCATAAAATTCTTAAGATTATGGGGACAAGGCTTTTGGGCCTAGTTTTTAGCAATGGTTTATTGTATTAATAAACATGCAGATAGCAGAAGACAAATCTTTGGAACTTCATAAAAGTTAAAAAACTTATTTGTAAAAAAAAAATTAAAATACGCAATCAACTGGGAAAGTACCTTCAGAGACCAAACATCCAGTAGGAATCTATTAACTAAAACATGTTTCTGCATCTGCGTGTGTATATTTAAAAAAAACACCCCAAACCACCCAAAAAGCAGCCCAATTGAAAAAAAAAAAACCAAGCCACTTTGTATAGCAGTGATTATTGCAGTGCTATTGACAGTAACCAAAAGGTGGAAGCAGCCAAATGCCTATGAATTGGTAAGTAACTTGTGCTTTATCTATGCAGTAGGCTACTACTTGGCAAGTAAGAGAGTCTTAAGGTAGTCCTGAGAAGTGTTGAGATAAGGTACTCTATGGATGAAGCATGAAGACATTTTCACAAGTGAAATAAGTCACAAAAGAAAAGATGCTGTGTTGTCTCATTTAGGAAAAAAAATGAGTAGATACAGAGAGATGAAAGTTTATTAGTGGTTGCCAGAGATGAGGAAAGGGGCAGTTATTTCTTATGAGGTTTGGTTTTATGGTAATGGAAAATCACTTTGGCTAAGTAAGGGTACATTTCACAGCCAGTTATTGTATGGGTTTTTACTAAGTTGTATGCCTATAGAAAAATTGGCTTGGGCAAAATTGTGTGATACCTGTGTTTATAATAACTACCCCATAAGAGAAGAGAGTGCTTAGGCTGATTATTTATAACCAAATGCCCTATGGTATTTGGTTTGAAGGTTTTATTGTTGTTATGTGTTGTCAAGTTGAAGCTTTATGATCATAATAATTTGGGTTAATTGGCCTACTATTTCCTTTAGTGCTGTAAAAAAGAGCCAGGACTACGTGGGGATGGCCATATCTGAACCTTTTCCAGATTCATAAAGGGTAACTGTCCCCATCAACAATATTAGCGACATAAAACCAATTCCCAAAATGTCAGACATGTCCTCCACTCTCCCTTCTTTTTCTCTACTTGCCACAACACCAATTTCGTTGCTGTATTAGGTCCAAAATGTGATGCAAGAACTCACAGACCACGCAGAACCATGTTGGGGAAGTTAGAAGTTTATAATCCAGATTAGTAGCAGAATAGAATCAGAACAACGTCTGAAATGGACATGCAGGTACCTCAGCCTTGAGGTTTTAAACTAGTGTTACAAAGTCTAAGTCCTTCGCATATTAGCTTGCCACTCCTATTTCTCCAAGATGTCGAACAAATTAGGGCAAAGTCTCTTAGCTTACCTCTGGTTCTGTCCATTGAGGGGGTGGTGGTAGCAGTCCTATCTCATGTTGATTCTCTGCTTTGGTCACAGTTTCTGCTGCAGTAAATCTAGCTGGTGCACCAATGTGTGGTCCTGAAGGACGTCTACTGCATTCCTCCTTCATTGTTGTTGCTGGAATGGCTCAGATTTATTTGTGAGACTACCCAGTCCCCTTGTGGATTGGTGACAGTCTCTTTGTGGATGGGCTGACATGCCCTATTTGCATAATTCTGCCCATACACATGCCTGAGTCAAGCAAATTCCATGTGTGGAAAAGCCATATTCAAAGATAAACTCCCCATACTCTTCTATTCTGTTTCATTGTTCTTTGCATATTGCCTGGTATTTCTGTACTCACCTGGAGTAACAAGGGGAGGAGAAGGGAAAATAAAATATTTGGCTCATTAACCAACAGCTCAACAGCTCTCTTGAACAAAAGACAAGAAGAATGGTGCCCTGCTATCACTACCATTTACTAATATCTACAATCAACAGCTTTATTGACCACAAGAGCAGAATGGTGTCCCCCTACCATTACTCAATGGTTTGAACAAAGATTTTAAAGAAGAATACTAATTAAAAGAGAAAATTCAGAACACAATTTCATATTCTCAAGGAGTCCAGCATTTCTGACACTACAGAGGCTGGATGAACACCTGAAACTATTACTCTGAGATAATCTTTAAACATTAAATCCAATATCCCCTGGAGTCTTAAAACCAAACTGAAGTTTAGCTTCACTGATAGACTTTCTTGTCTTGAGTATATTGTTGTTTTAAGATTTGTCTTTGTGGGATCAAAATGATAAGAGCAGCTTGGAAGTTTAGATTAGAACCTTAGGAGTATTTAGTTAATGAGGGTGGAGCAACTCAGAAAGCAAAACAAAAGTGAGAGTGATAGTGCAACTTGAATGTAATTCATTTCACTGTATTGTACATGTGGGAAATGTTGAACTGATGTTTGTTTTGCCATGTAATTGCAATTTAAAAAAAAGTTAAAAATACTGTTTCTTAAAAATGTTAAAATGGGCGAGCTCTGGTGGCCTAGTGGTGGGAAGCTGTGATGCAGTCCCAGAGTCAAGCAAATTCCATGTGTGGAAAAGCCGTATTCAAAAATAAACTCCCCATACGTTTCATTGTTCTTTGCATATTGCCTGGTATTTCTCTACTCACCTGGAGTAACAAGGGGAGGAGAATGATTGAATCCACCAGATGCTCTGCTGGAGAAGGAGGGACAATCTCCTCCTGTACCAGTCAGATCTGATTTCATGGTACCCACAAAAATAAATAAATAAATAAAAAATAGAACTATTTAAAAAAACCTGTTAAAATGGTTACGTCTTTGTAGCTATATGTATGTATGTATATGTTTATTACAATAAAAAATATTTCCTTTTTTACTCATGTATTTGAAGCCTGTTTAAAGTAGTGGTTAATAGCATGGTCTTTAAAGTCAGGCAAACCTTACTTCCCATTCTGGCTTCGTTTTTTTCTTACCTGAGTGAACATGAATAATTCCCCTTTCAGTGGTACGGATATGGCAATTTCTGTTTCACAAGGTGAGGTTTATATATGTAACCACTCAGTAATAATGGGATTTTTCACTAAATAATTCTGGGATAATTAATTAATTGGAATGTCAAAAACCAAAATAAACCTGTACCAGTTTAGACTGACCATATAATGCCAAACGTTTGTACAGCTGTAATTTTTATTGAAGTACAGCTAACATGTTTTGGAGTTTGTTGTTGGTAGGTGCTCTTGAGTCACCTGCAGTTCATAGTGGCCTTGTGACTCAGCGGCACCTAACAACAGTGGACAGCAGATAGGAATTTTGCCCTATTCTGTTTTGGAGTTTAGGAGACCTAAACTTTCAAGATACATTCTCAGTGTTTAGAAATGTGAGCAAAGGAATGTAGAGCTTATACTTTCACTGTCATTCCACTGCAGAATGATTTGTGGGCCTGAACTGACTTTTCTTTTTTTTTTTTTTTCTAAAATTATATTTTATTAATTTTCATAAAAATTTACAGAGATTTTGGGATTCCATTCATTCATTGTTGCACTATTCTCTCTACCCTCCTCCCAGTTTGTTCTTGTCCAAATGCCACAGTGCTTGTCAAAGCCAGTTCTGATTAATCTCCTTTGTCAGTGTGTCCTTTGCCATTCCCTATCACTCCTCCCTGAGAGAGACTTCACCCTGAGTCATAAGGAAAAGGGGATGGCGTATTCTCTTAGCTACTTCCTGCTGAAAAGGGACGCTGTGGGTTTCAGGGTGAAGATCTCTCACTACTCTAAAGGGCCCCTTTGGCAGTAGGAAACACATAGATTTTATGGAGATTGATTTTGGAATTTAGATGCACTCTTATTGATTGTGCTTGGCCGTACATGTTCATATCCTTGAAGATGTATCATGGGGGTGTTGCAACCTAGAAGACACAAATTTGACTAACAAGTTATAAGTACATGAGTCCAAAAATTATGGAAAAGTAAAAGAAAAGATTCTTTCATTGTTTTACAAACACTCCCCCAGGTCCCCTCCACCATGCAGCCCTCGCTCTAGTCTCCTGTGATGACAGAAATACCCAGTTATATATCTCTTTTAAACAGTTCTCTCCCTCCTCTGTTTCAGTGCAGTATACATTATTGAACCCATCTTACTCAGTCTCTCCCCAACCCCAAGGACAGTCCCATTCTACAACAGTGGCATCATGTAATACTTGTCCTTTTGTGACTGGGATATTTCACTCAGCATAATGTTCTCCAGAGTCAACCATTTTGAATAATATTGCATGAGTTCCTTATTTTTTAATGCAGCATAGTATTCCATTGTGTGAATATACCACAGCTTCTCTAGCCATTCGTTTGTTGATGGGCACTTAGGTTGTTTCCAACTCCTTGCTATTGTGAACAAAGCTGCAATAAACATGGGTGTGCATATATCTGCTTGGATGTCAGCTATGGTCTCTTCAGGGTATATTCCCAGTAGTGGAATTGCTGGGTCAAATGGTATCTCTATTTGCAACTTTTTGAGAAAGCGCCATACTGCTTTCCACAGGGGTTGCACCATTTTACATTCCCACCAACAGTGAATCAGGGTTCCATTTTCTCCACAACCTCGCCAGCATTTGTTGCTTGCTGTTCTGTTAAATTTTGCTATTTTGACTGGGGTGAAATGATATCTCATAGTTGTTTTAATTTGCATCTCTCTTAGGGCTAGGGATTTTGAGCATTTCTTCATGTGTTTGTTAGCCATCTGAATGTCGTCTTCGGTGAAGTGCCTGTTCATATCCTGTGCCCATTTTTCTATTGGATCATTTACCTTGTTGTGGTGCTCAAGTATTTAATAAATTCTGGATATAAGTCCCTTATCTGATATGGTATTACCGAATATTTTTTCCCAGTCAGTGGCTTCCCTTTTTACCCTACTGGAGAAGTTTTTGGATGTGCATAGGGATTTGAGTCTTAGAAGGTCCCATTCATCTATGTTATCTTCTCCTGGTTGTAGGTTTTCCAGGATACTGGGAAGACTGTTTATGTTGTGGATTAGGACTTCTAGTGTTGTTCCTAGCTTTTCTGTAATGAATTTTATAGTCCTTGGTTTTAGTCCTAGGTCCATGATCCACCTTGAGTTGGTTTTTCTGAACTGACTTTTCAGTTAGCACCAAGTGCTTAACCATTGCTCCACCAGGGCTCTATTAGTGTAGAGCAAACAAATAATTTCATTGTTCCCATCCCCAAAGTCAAGTTTCACATAAGGAATTAATACACAAATGAAACATCAAGGGAGTGTGTTAGGATTAAGAACATTAAAGTCAAAACATCCATAAAGGAAAGTAGTAATAGGAGCTGGTTGGCCAATCCAAAGGCGTGTGGCTCAAATCTCCAAGCTGCTCCATAGGAGAAAGATGGACAGTCTCCTGGATGGTCAAATAGGAGTTGCTTCAAACTTGAAGATACACCACTGCATCACACACAACCTGTAGATGCCAATTTTAGGGATTCTTACATAATTAGAACGAGATCATTTGAATATTTTTAAAAGAATAACTATTAGATTAAAATATATAGAGCTTCTAAGTGATTCTCAGGGAAAAATGTATCATCATTAGAAATTTCTAGGCTAACTACTCTGAAAATTGATTTCAAGCTGTTTATCTCCCTTTCTTGTACGAACTAAATTTCTTTGTAGTAAGAATCTTAGAGAACATTCTTAAATAAAAGAATTTGAGCTCATTAGGAAGAAGGTAGATGTGAATAACCTCCATTGACCTTGTGTTCTATTGAGTTGGGTCAAGCTGACCCTCCTCAGCTGGTTTTCAGGGGCAGTTAATTGCATCTTTCTCACAGAGCAACTGGTGGATTTGAACCACCTACCTTACATACAATAAATGAAATGTTGCCTAGTTTGCATCAACAGGTCCTCAGTCCATCTTACCAAGTCCTCACTCACCCTTGATCTACTTTACTAAACATGTTTCTGCTTCAGCAATTGATACTCCTGAGGCAAGTGAGCTGGACAGTATTCTATTGGAATCTGTACCGTTTTCATTAGCTAATTTTTAGAAGTGAGTCATCAAATCTTTCCTCTTCATCTTAATGTGGAGATTGCACTGGAACCTGTCCACTTTTAGTGACACTGCTGGTACTTGAAATACCGTAGTGGCATAGCTTCCAGCATCACTTTATGCAAGCCACCATAGTAGGACAAATTTGACAAATAGGAAAAAATATTTTTTAATTACTAGGAATAAAAACTGAAGACATAGAATAAGCATCATGTAACCAAAGACCAAAGTGTTTGAAAGATGAGATTTCAGATCAGAAAAGGAACATTGGTCAGGTAACCAAGCCAGATTTCACTTTTCTCTCCTCAGCATTTAGTATTTGCTATGACTTGTCATTCACTAACATTAGTTTAAACAACTTTATAATTTGCATAAGTTTAGGAAGTATAATTGTCAGAATTTAATATTGAATAGACTGAACAGCTAATTTAACATCCTATTTTAGAGGAAGTGGATAAATATTAGCTGGTAAGTGTAGCTTTCCTTGTACACTCATTTTTACATAAATATTTGAGAAATTCACCTGGTGATTTTAAATTTCTATTTTTTACCAAAGTAGGTCTTAACAATCAACTCTTTGATTTTACTTTCAAGGGTTCATATATGATAAGAGTACTTTTTTAATACTTCAAAATTGGGAATTGGATATTTCACATTTAACTAATACTTCTCATTTCATTTTCCCTTTTTTTAAAGGTTGAATCATGTCAGGGAGATTTGAGTACCTTGGCCAGTGTAGTTACATCATTAGCAAATCTTGGAAAAACTAAAGATCCTTCTCAAAATAGTAATGAAATGCCTGTCATTGAAAGCCTAAGCAATGGTGATACATCTCTCTGTGAGTTCCCAGAAATGCAAACAAATGGTGATGTTTCAAGGTAATGTCTATTTTAATCTGGAATGTTACTCACTTAAGTGGCCTTTACTATTCCTTACAATGTTTTTATATTGAAAATTATAGAAATTTAAAAAGCAACTGTTAATTCCCTTTTAAGACTAAAGCCTTGTAATTTTAGTTGGAAAAACTACTTTCTATGTGAAAACATTTTAAATGTTAGAAATCTTAAAATTAAGGATTTGTTTTTCTGTCAAAAGGGGTTTTTTAGGTCTAATAAAGAGGATAGGTGTGTCAGACAGAAAGGTTGGCTCAGGATAGAGCAGGGTTCAAGCGATTGTACCACACATAACAATAACAACAATATTTCAGATGTTTGGTTTTTTCCAAGTTTTTTCTTTATATTTCTTTCCCCCCCCTTGTATGCTGTCAAGTCAGCTTTTTCCATGTGTCTGTTTGTTATTTAAATATTGCAGAAACAATTTAAGAGTACTTCCTTGAACATAAGATTTTCAGAAATTCTGGAGAGAAGCTATTTGTTAGCCATTCTGATTGTAAATTTCTGTAGTTGAACTGTAGTTCTGTAACTATTATATGTTTTAATATCTATGTTTTAAGTCAGCATAAATTGTTACTCTTGTTCCTTCTGAATAATTTCAATGTCAGATAATTTTTTAAAACATTGTATTCACATCAACCTAATTTTTACTCCTTAATATATAATTTTAAAGAGATTTAACAGCCTTTTGGCAACACATTAATATGACTTTATAGTCATTGATTTTATATATATCTAGTATTTGCTGCTTTTGGGAGGGGCATTTGATATCAGTAGGTTTTAATTTACTAAACATTTTTGGGCTTTAATCTTAATTTTAGAATTTTCGTTTAGTTGTAGAAGTTGGTTAAGCCCTCAGCTTGAGATTTCTTTTTACAGGGCATTTGACACTCTTGCAAAAGCACTGAATCCTGGAGAGACCACACCCTGTCAGAGTTCAGAGGGCGTGGAAGGAAGTGTACACTTAATTGCTGGAGATGCAAGCATAAATTACATCGAAAAGGAAGGGCCACTTCTCAGTGATTCGCATGTAGCTTTCAGGGTATTTCCTCTATATTTTTAAATTTTTTTTTTTATATGTTACCAGTTTTATTTTAGTCTTTAAGAAAATGGAAATGTAGTCATGTGCTTTTAAAGTCAGAAACATCGCAGTCAAATTTCAAAAGAGCAGCTGTGCTATATACGTCTAGCTACAAAAAAAGTTTCTCAATTTCAGTTACAATAGCAAATAATTAATAGATAAAAACTAATTTTTAGCGTGTTTAAAGTATTTGTATTCATGTTGTATTTTGTTTTAAACTTGCTATATGTTTTCACTATTTTGAAAGAAAGATTTGTTTATAATTTTTATTTTCCAGACTCTAATTACATTGGAAACAAAGCTTATTGATTGCTAGAAAGTAGCAACTATATAATCCAAGTAATGTTTGAATCAGAGCTGTAGATGTACTGACCATTGAGGCACTAATTAAAACCTTTTCTGTTTCTATCTCTCAGTTTAACCAGGTTGAATCTTTGCTCTGTCTGCTATTGGCATTTGTATGCAAAGTGATTGAAAGTACATACAAATTTTCCAGTAACGGTATAATGCTGTCCTGCAATAGCCAAGTGTAATTGCTCATAATTATACTATAGATTTTTAATTTCCATGGATATATTTAATGAAAGTATGCACAGCCTCAAATACACATATGTCTTTGGTAGAAATCATGAAGACAAAAAAATAATTAACATTAGCCAAAACTTCATATGGTAAAATTTGTGCTATTTATAACTTTGGCTTGATAGAACTAGCCACAAAGAAAGTTCACAATGACTTAAATGATGATTCCAATCATTTGGTATAGTTATTAAAACATATCAGTGAAACCAAACTTTTATAGAAGTTTACCAAAGATAGTAAAAAAAGGATTGGAAATGTTTTATTGCATGGCATAGAAAAAAACTAATGAATAATAATTAGGATAGGCAATGGGAATAATTCATGTCACCCTAAAAACTAATGGTAGTCTGCTTGCTTTGGTAGCACATATACTAAAATTGGAACGATACAGAAAAGATTAGCATGGCCTCTACACAAGGATGACATGCAAATTCATGAAGCCTTCCATATTAAAAAAAATAATAATAATGGTAGCAACTATGGACAAGGATGGAACAAAGGAAAACTAAATTTTCTTGTTGCTGTATCTTATTCTAAAAGGTCTCTTTTTCCCCTCAATTTTATTTTCTGCTTTTGGGTTTAAATAGAGGGGAAGTATTATAGATATGATGGACATAGAAGGATTCTTGGCAAGGGGAAAAGGACTCAGTTCTTCTAGAAAGCAGAAGTAAACCATCTTTCCATTGTTCAATTTGGTCTTCTGTGGCATTGAGCCTTTCCAGTATTGTTTTGGGGAAATGCATTAGACTAATCTGACCAGTCCTTGAAGGATATCATGCATGGAAGGGTGGAAGGACAACACAGGAGAGAAAGACCCTGGGTGAGATGGATTGACACAGTGACTATGGTGAAAGGGGCAGGTGTGTTTGAGACAGTGAGATTGGCTCAGGGTAAGACAGGCGTCAGAGCTATTGTGCATAGGGTCTCTATGAGTCGCAGGTGATGCTGTGACATAATAACAACAACAGTCTGAAAAAAAATATTTTCCTGGTATTGACTTTTTATCCATTTCATTTTTGACCTAACTCTTTTGAGTATCTTCAGATTCAGCACTGTAAAATGTCTTGCTTTTCTTTAAATGACATCTCCTTCTGTATTATATACTCTGAGTAGTCAAGTGAATTCGTTCTTAATGGTTTCCCTACCTGGTGCTTTCAAGGTTGTTTCTGTACCTTCACGCCAAACCATAGCTGGCATTCTAGCAGGTTTTCAGGGGCAGTTAATTACATGTAAGGAGATTGTTATCTTTCCCCCTTTGAATAACAGTGGATTCAAACCAAGTGCCTTGAGGTTAGCAGAGATGTTTTCTGATTACATCTGTAATCAGATTGACTCAGTTATCCCTTAATTACTGGCTGAAACAGGATTTTGTTCTTTTTATGGTACAGTGTAGTTTGCAATATCCTTTCTGATACATTCTTTAATTTGAGCCCTCACTACAATCTCTTGAGGTTTGAATTTTTATTCTCATTTTGTGGATAGAGAGGCTAAGGAATTGTCAGTTATCTTGTTGCATTTTGACTCTGCAGCATCTACGGCAGTAGTAATATTTAGCACTTCAGTTCAGCTCTGGTTGAATACACTGGTTTCCTAGTGGTGAGGAGCTGGGCTACTAACATAAAGGCCCATGGTTCAAATCCAAAACATGCTCTTCTGGAGAAAGACGAGCACCATCTTTCCATGCAGTTTACTGTCCTTAAAATCCACCAGATATTCAACAGTGAGTCGCTTCTGATTCAATAGCACATAACAAAATTCGACTTTAGATTTTTGGTATAATTTCATTTACATTCATTCTCTGCTTATAATCATCAAATTGCCTTAAAAATAATCAGTGTAGATAGATAATTATTTTCATTTTAGAAATATTTGTATGAGACAAAAATACGATTTTTTTTCCTTTTGTGATTTTTTTCCCCCCTGAGTTACTGTCTTTTTGTCAGCCATGATTGCAGATTCCAAGTTTTTTTCAGTCTCTGTACCTCATTGCCCTCCATTCTGTAATTAAATTCTAGCAATTCTAGCACTTGAATTTGTCCTTTCCCGTCTATTTTCATTGCCACATTTCAGACCATTTTTATTTCTCATTTTGAACTGTTTCCGTAACATCTTCTAATCCCTGTTCATCTTGTGTCCCACCCTGGAACCAGTGTGATACTTGTTTAAAAATCAATCTGATTTTGTTGTTTTACTCTTTGAAGCCTGCAGTAGGATCCCATTTGCTCATCTGGGGTCAAGTTTGGTCTCGATAGCTTGACCTTTTCGGGCCCACTGCATTCTGCTCCAGTGCTTATCATTTGTCAGACTTGCTGTTCCTTTCATAGTCCTTTCTGTAGCTCATTTGGTTCTTTTCTTCTACTGAAATTATATACTTAACTACTGCGCCTCACCGTGGAATCTCAGTAAATGGTTACTGCATGACTGACCACCAGGACCACACAAGTAATTAATGATTGGTTGGGAGTAGAAATTAGATCTCCTAACTCAAGTCAAAGAATTTTTTTAAAAACCTGTATCATGTGGCTGTTTTCAGAATTACATTTAAGTTTGTGCCGTGAACATAATTTCAGATTTGTTGTTATGTACCATCAAGTCAAAGCTGACCTTCAAGCAGGTTTTCTGAGGTCTCCCATCATTCTCCCACAGGGCAAACTGTTTACCATTGGGTTGGCAGTGCAGCTCCTGACCCACTAGACCTCTAAGACTCTAGGTATTTGCAGAAGTAACAACTTCCAAAATCAGTAGTCATGTTTGGTTCTTAGCAACACTTTTGAAAAAAAATTACCTCATTATTAATTTTGTTTAAAATATATTTAGTTTATCTTATGAACCAGAAGTTACATAGGAAATTTTATGAAGATTTAACAGTTTTGTGGTAGAGAGACTACAAAGGGGAATAAATACTTGTTTTTCCATCTTTAAGACTTGTGAAGTACATGTTTATATCTTCAGTTTGCATCAGCTTTCTTCTTTAAGAAATTTAAATACATACAATATAAATAAGACATATATCCTGTCTTTACAAATAATTTAACAGTGATTTTTAAAAAAATTAATTTCTTGCGGTAGGCAGGGAGGAAAATGTGCAACAACGAATGATTGGAAATCCAGGTTCTCTATAAACTTTTATTAACATCTCAATAAAAAATGGAAAATTAATTTTTCTGTTAAAGATTTCAACCTTTTGATAACAGTAGAAAGTTTTCCTTTAAAACCATCATCCCATAAGTCAAAGTACCATCTGTATTTTTAGCTCTTCTATCTAATTTTTACAGGTTAGAAGAATATTTAAAGATAAATTGAAATAATCTTTCCTACCCCTCCCCTTAAAACTAGTGGATAGATCCCCTAATTTTTCATACTCTTCCCCATTCATACTGGGCAATTCTGAAGTTAGGTTCGTTTTCAATCTGGGTTTTACATACTTAGGTGTAGAAAGTTTTGCATTATAATGATTATGTATGAGATACCTAATATCTGCTTGTCCTTAAAAATTATCTTAAATCTTTGTATTTTTACTTACTGTTATATCTGTAAGTTTTGCAAAATTTTGAAGTTTTTTTCTTATGCATAGAATACCAACTGTTAATTGCCCTCTTATTTTCATAGAAATTGAATTTTAATGGATAATTATTTTAAGATAGATAAGCCACTTTATGTAGATAGGCTGTTTGTGGATAATATGAAACTAAAGCAGTTAATGATTTTTCACACTTTGATCTAACACGTCTCCAGAACTTTTATAGCATTTGAGTAAAAACTTCTTAATCTATTTGAGTTATGAAAACCTTTGTGAATCTGATGAAAACTGAAGTCGTTCCCTAGAAAAATACATATGGGCACATTGGCATAAAATATTTTTAATTTCATAGAATTTATCTGCTTTATAGAGAATGTTAACTGCTTTAGTCATTACTAAAATCATAAGTATCATTATACCACTTTCGTGGTGGTTATGTGCCCTCGAGTCGCCTGTGACTCATAGTAGTTCTATTGTATCTTCCAAGTTTGCTTTAAATTGTCATTCACAGGGGAGCTCTGGTGGCCTAGTGGCAAGGAGCTGCAGCTATAATCCCAGAGTCTCACGGTGTGAATCCACCAGATGCTTTGCCGGGAAAAGGAGGGACAATCTCCTCCTGTACCAGTCAGATCTGATTTGATGGTACACTCACACACACACAAAAAAATTGTCATTCACTAGATGGAAATGAATTTGCTTGGGTTTTGTCTTATAAAACCATCGAATATGCTAATTATTAACAGTTTCCCTCATTTGTGTGAGTATTCCTTATATTGTCATCTGTACTTGATAGCATTGCTTGATTCAGTACTTTTGGCTATCAGCACAACAGACTGTAAACTATGCCTAAAGCAGAGCTACTGCTTCATTGCTTTGAAAGTAGGAAATAAATGCATACTCTGAGAAGGGTTTTGAGAAGGTAAAATATTTTCAACAGTCACGTATTTTAAATAGTTCTCTAGTCAGTAATATTAACTGACTGCATATAAATATTATGGCCACAGACATACTTTTATCTATACATTATTTTGAAAATAATTTCTAAACCACTACCAACCTTTTTAGTTGGGAAGCTATTACACAAGACTGGCTCTTTGAAAAACTGAAAGTACTGGTAATCTTGTGCCCAAATTCTCATGTTTTTAGTATGCTCTATTCAGTTCACAGCTGTCCCCTTTAGGTAGGATCATGTTCTCAGTTGGCAGTGGAAGGCATGCTTCCCTTGTTATTCCGGGCTTTATAAGCATTTGATTTTGTGACCCTTCTAACCAAAAGCAAAGCACTATTAGTCATACAGAATTGTTCCTTAACCTGAACTTTTTGTGTTCTGTTTTCAATAGATTAGGAAGGAAGGAAAAACTTTCTTAGAACAAGACAGGAAGTGACTTTTTAAATACAACCATGGAACATCATAGTTTTGGTGGGATTCTGCTGCTACTGTTTTGTTAGGAAAGACTTAGTGGTATAAGGGTTATGCACTCAGCTGCCAGCTGAAACGTCAGCAATTTGAAACCACCAGACACTCCGTGGGAGAAAGATAAGACAGAGTCCGTTTCCGTAAAGATCACAGCCTTGGAAACCCAATGAAGCAATTTCTGCTTCCTTCCAGGATTGTTGTGAGTCAGAATCTTGACGTTAGTGGAGTTTTTTGGTATATGATCTACCAGTTATTGTTTGAGTATTGTTGAGCCATATAAGTCACTGTTTGGTGTATGGTCTACTAGTTATAATTTAGACTTTCCAGTCATAAGATAATTTACCCAAATCCCTGTTTGTACTAGCTCACCATGCCTTCTCCTATGCCTGAGTACCTGAATGTGCACTACATTGGGGAGTCGGCCTCCAGATTGCTGTTCTTATCAATGCACTGGGCACTTTCGATTCCTTCTTTCCAAGCTCTAGGGTGAGTGTTTTGAAGTCCTTGAGTATAAATGTAATTTTTGTAGCACAAGTGTATATTGAAAAGAAAAAAAACACACACGCACACAAACCAACAAAACTTGTTTGAGTAGGATTTATGGAAAAGAAAGAAAAATCATATAGCATAATTTTTTGTTCATATAACCAATCATAGTCACTAACCAATATTTTACATACTTTAACCTAGAAGAGTTATTTGTATTACATAATACAACTGAGTTAACAATCTAGATGGGCTATATGCAGAGTTGCTGATAAACCATACCTGGCATTTGTAGTAGGTCATCTTAGATTGACACAGGGATAAGGAGGCAATTGTTTTTATTGCTTTAACTTTCAAAGCTATCTTCAGCTCATCATGAGCTCATGCACAATGGATCAAACTAGTTCTGCACCAATCCCCTGATCAATTTTTAGTCAGACAGTGAAGCCTTTCAAGACTTTCAGTGGCTGATTTTCAGAAATAGATTGCCAGGCCTTTCTTTCTATTTTGCTTTAGTCTAGGACCGTTGTTTTCTTCCCATTCCTCCTCTGCTTCTCCTTACTAAAAGTTCATCCACGGTGTTCACTATGAAACTAAAATCTGCTTCAAGCAGTTATTGCATTCCAGTCTTTTGTTATTTTTATACAAAAAGGGGGAAAGCAGACCTCATGGTACTACTACAATGATCTGCAGATTTTGGTCCTGTTACAGAAGAACACATCTTTATTGTAATCAGGTCATATGAAAAAATTATCTAGTAGAACAAACTTCATCTTTACCTAAAATTTGCCGTGTTTACTTAGTATGCTGTAAAGTAACTGATAACAAGTGACAAAGAGTGAGAACCGTCAAGCCCACAGTAAGAAGATTATGGCTCTAGTCACAGAACCTCTTCATGCCAATATGATTTAGTATGCAGTGCTCTTCAATATGAACGGGAATAACTGCTCATCCCTTGCCCTTAAGCATCAATGAATCATACGCTTAAATAATACCATTAGGAAGGTAAAAAAGCCCGATTTATAGTAGTTGACCTTTATAAAACAATTATTACGGCAATGAATGAATGGAAATCCAAAACCTCTGTAAAAAAAAATTATAAAAAAAAGAAAAACATTCAATGTAATTCACCACATTAACAAGAATAATATGATCCTAACAATTGATGTAAAAACGGGATTTGACAAAATCCAACACCCCTTCCTAATTAAAACACTCAGCAAAATAGGAATAGAAGGGAATTTCCTCAATATAGTGAAAAGTATATATGCAAAACCAAGAGCCAATATCATTCTCAGTGGAGAAAGACTGAAAAGCATTTTCCTTGGAAATAAAGCTCAGACGAGGATGCCTGCTTCCACCACTCCTAGTCAATATTGTATTGGGAGCACTTGCTAGTGCAATACAAAAAGGAAATAAGAGTTATCCAGATCAACAAAAAGTTGGTTAACCTGTTGATATATGCAGAAGATTTGATAGTATACACAGAAAACCTCAAAGACGCAACAACAACAAAAAAATCTGTTAGAGCTAGTGGACCATTTTAGTAGAGTGGCATGATACAAAATCAGTGTACAAAAGTCAGTTGGATCCTCAACAGTGACAAAGAAAACACAAAGAACGAAATCGAGAAACCAATACCATTTATAATAGCCAAGCACATATTGAGATGCTTGGGAATGAACCTAACTAGAAACACAAAAGACCTTTACAAAGAAAACTAAAGAACATTTCTATGAGAAATAAAAAAGACTTAAATGGAAAAAAAAACCAAAACAATTATTAGCTCCTTCTCCTAAAACAACACTTGACTTTTCAAATTCTTCATTTTGTTTTTTAAGAAAACACTGGAATATATTAAAATTTTATATGTTCTCAATAAGTAGAATTTAAATAAAAAGAGAAAACCTAAAGGGGACTTCTCAAGCTGAAATAAGTAAAAACCAGACTTGAGCTCGAGTTGCAGTACTGAAAGGATTCTGTGGGCAAAATCTTGATCAATGCAGGAAGTGTCAAAAGAAAATAGTACAGGCACTCTACCAAAAAGAATTAGTTGACACTGAAACATTCAGGAAATAACATATGATCATGAGCCAGTGCTAATGAAGCTGCACGGAAGGCACTGGCAAAAAATAAGATCCCAGAAATTGATGAAATATCAGTTGACATATTTTAACAAATAGATGCAACCCGGAACATGCTCACTAGTCTGTTGTATTGAGTCAAATTGTCAGATAATTTGCAAGACAGCTACCTAACCAGCTGACTGGAAGAAGTTAATTTTTGTTCCTATTCCAACAAAAGGTGATCCAACAGAATCTGGAAATTATTGAGCAGTATCATTACTATCACATGTCTTGACGAAGATCATTAAAGAACAACTGGAATATTCCAACAACAGGGAACTTCCAGAAATTCAAATTGGATTCAGAAGAGGCCCTGGAACCCGGGTCATCATTACTGATAGCAACTGGATTTTGGTTGAAAATATAAGGGAACACAAGAAAGTAGTTTATTTGTGTTTTATTGCTATACAAAAAGGCATTTGACTATAGATGATAACAAATTATGGATAACATTGTAAAGAATGAGAATACCAGAACACTTACTTTTGCACACCAAGAAGCAGTTGTCCAAATAGAGCCAAGGAACATTGACTTGATTTAAAATTTGAAAAGGTGTATGTCTGGATATCCTTTCTCCATACCTATTCAGTGTGTATGCCCAGCATATAATTTGAGAAGATGGAGTATATGAAAAAGAATGTGGCATCAGGATCAGAGGAAGACCTACTCAGTAGCCTATACTTTATGCAGATGACACAAACTTTTTTGTTGAAAGTAAAGGAGATTGAATCATTCACTGCTGAAGATCAAAAATTATAGCTTTCAATATGAATTACATCTCTGTATCAGGAAAAGAGAATCCTCACCACTAGACCAATAGGCAACATCATGATAGATGGAGAACAAATAGAAATTTTCAATAAGTTTATTTTACTTGAATCCACAAATCAACACCTATGGTAACAGCTGTCAAGAAAACAAAAGATGAGTTATATTGAGGAAATCTACTGTTAAGGACCTCTCTAAAGTTCTAAAGAGTGAGAATGGTAGTTTAAAAGCTAAGGTTTGCCTGAGCCAAACTGATATTTTCATTTGCTTCCGATGCATCTGAAAGTTGGGCAGTAAATCAGGATGACAGAAGAATAATTGATGCCTTTGAATTAATGGTATTGGAGAGAAATACTGAACATCCTACAGACTGTCAAAGGAACAAAGTGATCTGTTTTGCAGGAGATGTAACCAGGTTGCTCCTTTGAGGCAGTGGATAGGGAAACTTCATTTCACATACTTTGTACATGTCAAGATTAACCATTCCTTTGAAAAGGACATCATTGTAGGAAAGGTGGAGAGAGAGAGAGAACCTCAACAAGATAAATTGACAGTGTTTGCCAACTCGGGCCTGGTGCATATTAGAAATGGTGAGGATGGCACAGGTTAGTGCAGGGTTCAGACCTGTTATTCATAGGGTCACTAGCAGTTGCATTTGACTTGATAGTACCTAACAAGAAAACCAAAAAGTTTCTTAAGCTTTTAACTTGCATACATTGTTGTTGAAGTTAGCTGGGGATAGTTTTAATAGATTATCAATTATAGTAAAAGAATTAAAGGAAAGACTTCAAGAGGAAAATTTTCACACTTCAATTATTCATAATACTGTTGACCTTTAAGAACTTCTGTAAAATTGGATGTAATTATCCTATGGAAGTAACTTATCTTTGAAGAGATAAAATATGAGGTTTCTAGTTATAAAAAAAAGTAATTTTATAATGGTGCCCACCTTCTCTATGATTTCTGAAAAATCCATTTCAGCATAATAGCTAGCAGATTTTTTGCCATTAGAGTAAAAATTGATTATTCATTTAACACCATTGATTACTACATAAAATCTTTTTTTAACCTTGTCTGTATTATTGATGAGCTTATTTGTGTGTTGGCTTAATCAGATAACAAAGACAAAATACTAATGACAGAGAAAAATCTATTATGTGATAATAAATGCTTTTCCAAATCTCTTAGTAATTGATATTGGTTGCATTTTTATTTCTGTATACAAAACCTAAGTTTTCTACAGAAAAACAGATGAACAACACATTAATCATTTTCTAAAAGTCAAATTTGTTTTAACCACTTATCTTAATGGAGGGAAATGTTTGTTTAAAAAATGTGCAGTTAATATCATTTGTATTTTGCGTCTGTAATTTACAGGGATATTGTTTTTATATGTAACATTTATAATTTTAATGTTTATAGGAACTCAGTTTTTTTCTTTTAAATTCTTTCTGCATAATTTGGTGATAAACAGTTGTAAGCTAAGACCCAGTTTGGTTTCAGAGTACTTGAGTTGATTTTCTGGAATAAAAATTCAGCAAATCGCTCTAGTTGGTGTTTTTGTCCTGAGCCAATCCCATCATCTCCAACAGACCTAATCCCAGTCACTGAGTCAATCCATCTCATCCTGGGTCTTCCTCTCCTGTGTTGTCCCTCCATGCTTCCAAGCATGATGGCCCTCTCCAAGGACTAGTCCTTCCCGGCCACATGCCCAGAGTATATGAGACAGAGCCTCAAGTCCTTGCCTTTAAAGAACAACTTGGTTTTCCCCTCCAAGACAAACCTGTTTGTTCTGGTAGTCCATTGTATGGTCAACACTCCTCTCCAGCGCCACAACTCAAAAGCATCAAACTTTCTTTTTTCATCTTTAGTTACCATCCAGCTCCCAGATGCATAGCAGGTAATTGCAAAGACCATAGCCTGTGTCAGGCACACCTTAGTCTCCAGACTGATATCGTGCTCTTCAATACTCTGGAGAGGTCCCTGACAGCAGATTTCCCCACTGTAGTTCATCTTTTGATTTCCTAAGTGCTGGTGACAAGAGTGTTGATTGTAGGACCAACAAGTTACAATCTCAGTCTCTTTTCTGTCCATCAGGAAGCTTCTAATTGGCCCAGATGAGAATTTTTGTTTTCTTGATATTGAACTTAAATCCATATTGAAGACTACTGTCCTTGACTTTCTGCAGCAAGCGCTTCAGATCTTCTTCAGTTTAAGCAAGCAAGGTTATGTCATCTGCATAATGTAGGTTGTTGATGAGTCTTCCTCTAATCCTGATGCCACACTCCTCCTCATAAAGCCCTGCTTCCTAAAAGATCTGTTCTGCATGTAGATTGAAAAGGTATGGAGATAGGATGCATCTCTCACATACTCCTTCCCTGATTTTGAACTATACAGTGTTTCCCTGCTCTCTTCCTGGTCCAAGTATAGATTTTGGATAAGCACAGTGAAGTGTTCTGGGATCCTGATTCTTCTCAAGGTTAGCCACAATTTGTTTAGTCACATGCCTTTGTATAGTCAGTGAAACACAGATACACATTCGTCTGGTACTTACTACTTTCAGCCAAGATCCACCTAAGGTTGGTTATGATGTCCTAAGGTGACAGCCTCTTCTAAAGCCAGCCTGCACATCTGGCAGTTCTCTGCTGATGTCCTTTTTCAGTTGTTTCTAGATAATCTTCAGCAGGATCTTGCATGCGTGTGGTACTAGTGATATTGTTCGATCATTTCCACATTGTTTTGGGTCATCTCTTTTTGGAATGGGAATAAACACTAATTTCTTTTTTTTTCCTTTTTTTTTTAACAGCATCAGAAATCCTTTATTTAAAGGTCATGGCTGTTTACGGAATAGATGACTCAACAGCCAATTCTTTTTTGAATAATACCTCTGTATACTCCTTTCATCTTCTTTTGATACTGCCTGGGTCATTCAACGTTCTACTTTCAGCATCCTTAAGTATTGTAACTCAAGGCTATTCGTTCTTCAGTTCCTTAAGCTTAAGAAATGTCGAGTGAGTTCATTCCTTTTGATTTTCTAACTCTAGCTCCTTGCACATTTCATTATAATACTTTGTTTTGTCTGCCTTTTGAAATCTTCTGGTCAGCTCCTTAATTTCTTGATTTCTTCCCTTTGTTCTGGCTTCTCAGTGTTGTGGTGAAATAGTCATAGTCTCTTCTGGCATCCATTTTGGTCTTGTCTTTCTCCTCTGTCTTTTCAGTGACTTTTTGCATTCTTGATGTTCTTGATATCCTCTCACAATTCATCTGGTCTTCACTCATTTGTGCTCAAGGCTTCAAACCTGTTCCTGAGATAAAGCATAGTTGTACTAAAAATATATGTAGAATTCACTTTGATTTTGCTTTTTTTATTTCCTTATAATTCAGTTTTGTAGAACCTAGGGCTCTGGTTGGAAGCAAAAATACCTACTAGCTTATTATTTCTCAGTTGTTGCTTTTCATCTTTTTTTGCTGCTTATTGTCTACCATCAAGATAAGACTGGCTTATAGCTGATGCTTCAGCAAGTTTTCAGAGGCAGTAAATAACACGGGAGTTGATTGTCCATATTTCTCCAGTTGAACAGCTGGCAGATTCAAATCGCGTGCCTTTGGGTTGACAGCCAGTTCCTTACCATTAGCCCCTCAGACCTTCCTTTGCTTAGCAATATGCTTAATCATGTTGATGTTCTCTCATCTTCTATATTTGTATTCTGTAATTTTTTTCCCCCTAAATCTCCCCAATTTCAAGATTACTTTCTTAAGTAATACTCTCCAGAGATAACCACCCCTACCATTAACACTTTGGTACCCTGTAAATTTGCAAATTTTCTCTCACCTGTGTTTAGCACTTAAGGTAGAGGATCATAGAAGTGAGGAAAACCCTCAGAGATGTATTGATGCCATGATACTAACAGCATACTTAAGCACAGTGGAGATAGTGCAGCATCAGGCAGGGTTTAGATCTCTTGTATATTGGGTTACTTTGAAGTCGACCCTTCAGCACCAGACAATAATGAGTTGGAAGCTACTTTATGACAGTAGGTTCGATTGTGTAATAAATAGGTGATGAAGGTTTAAAACTCTGATGTGTAATTGTTACTCTAATGCTTTTTCATTGCTTTCATGCTACTGAAATTTCTAATTCAAACATTTAGAAAGAGCATTTGGCCTTTCTTGTCTCTTATTAGTCCTGATAAACCCATTGTATATAGAGGAACTGCAGAAAGTCAAGGACTGCAGGCTTCAGTATAGATTGAAGCTCAACATGAAGAAAACAAAGATTCTCACCTCTGAGCCAATTGACAGCATCATGGTAGACGTAGAAGAGATTGAAATTGTTAACAATTTCAGCTAGTTTGGGTCCATGGTCAACACTCATGTGAAAGCAAAAGCAAAAGATGAATTGCATTGGGGAAATCTGCTGTCAGGGACCTCTCCAGATTGCTAAAAAGCAGTGTGTATCTAGAGAGTAAGGTGAGACTGACCCAAGCCATGGTCTTGGCAATCACTTGGCTGTGTATCAGAGAGCTGGATAAGGACTAAAGATGATAGAAGAATAGATGCCTTTGAATTGTGGTATTGGAGAAATGTATTGAACATACTATTGACTGCCTAGAGAATAAACAAGTCTATTTACATAGAGTGAAACCAAGCTGTTCCTTGGAGACAAGGATTTTGGGGCTCTAACTCACATAGTCTAGGCATGTTGCCAGGAGAGAACAGTCCTTAGGAAACAGCATTGTACTTGCAAAGGAGGAGGGACAATGCAGGAGAGGAAGACCCTGGATGAGATGGATTGACACAGTTAACTGAGGTAATGGGGATAAGTGTCTCAGAGACAGTGAGATTTGTTCAGGATAGAGCAGCGTTGAGAGCTCTTGTACATAGGGTCACTATGAGTCAAAGGTGACTTGACAGCACATAACAATAAACAATTGATTCACAGGGAGACTAAAAACAAGTGGATATAGCTTTTTGGGTGGTAATGTTTTATATGATACATTATTAAAGAATAAACCATTCGTCCTAGGAAATTGACTACTGCCATCAAGTAATCCTGATTATGCCTTCCCCATTTTTTATATTTAACAAGTATTGATTAAAGTCCTAGTCTTTCAAAACACCTATTATGCATCTGGGAACTGGGTAGTAAGGATGACAGGAGAAGAATCAGTGCTTTTGAGCTCTGGTATTGAAGTACTCAATGTCCTATGGACTTCCTAAAGAACAAACAGATATGTCATGGAGTACACACAGTCAGATGCTCCTTTGGAGACAAAGATGATAAGCTTCATTTCACGTACTTTGGGCATGTTGCTAGTAGGGGCGGTTTTTTTGAGAGGGACATAATACTTGAAAAGGTGGAAGGTCAATGAAAGAGAAGACGACCTTCAAAAAGATAGACTGATAGAGTGTCTCTGGCAGTGGACTTGTGTGTTGGGGATGATGAGGATGGCGCAGGATAGGACAGTGTTCAGATCTATTGTGCATAGCTTCAATGTGAGTCGTACTCAGCTTGATATTACTTCACAACAGTGTTCATTGAAAGAAAAGGATTGCATTCTTTTGCTTTTTTTTTTTTAAGTGCAATATTCATCTGTCTCCATGAAATCTTTTTTGGTTTGAAATATTACTTATAGCTGGTGTAAATTGTCTGAGTAGTTAAAAACCCAGCAGATACTTACTTTTCTAAGAAATTCTTCACAGTTTCTATGAATTGTACAAAACAGAATTGTACTTGCCCAGATGGACAGTGTAATTTTAGCTAAGTGATATTTTATTCTTAAAGCTGAGTTACAAAGTGTATAAAATTTAATAACATCTGACTTTTGGTTTTTGTTTTGCACAGGCAAGAAAACAGCATATCATTGGTGAAAGCTTATTGGAATGAGCTTTTTACTCTTGGTCTTGCTCAGTGCTGGCAAGTAATGAATGTGGCAACTATATTAGCAACATTTGTCAATTGTCTTCACAGTAGCCTTCAACAAGGTAAAAACATTATTCACTTTCTTGGATATGCAGAAGAGAATTAGTTGTATGAAATTTTAGGATTAAAGTTAGATATTTGATGATTATTCTTCATTTGCAATAACATTCTTTTCCTTCAGATAGTTTTTACATTTTGATACATTCATCCAAACATTTTAAGTGAGAGTACAACAAAACTGTGAAGCAAGCATATTTAAATCTAGATGACTATTTCTCACCAGGCCCTGTGCTATCACATTTTTGTAGAGGTACCCAGAAATTTGAGATTACTTATATGTGATCAGACATTTCAATGAGACTTTAACTACCTTTTTACCAACTTGGATTCATTGCCATTGAATTATTTCCCACTCATCACAGCCCTCCATTAGATTTTTCAAGCCTGTAATTCTTGATGGGAGAGAATACTACTCTTTTTTTATTATTATTATTAATTTCAATGAACATTTACAGAGATTTTGGATTTCCGTTCATTCATTGTTGTTTTCTCCCCGCCCCCACCCCCACCCCCAGTTTGCTTTTTTCTTTGAAAATTAAAAGAAAAATTCTTTCGTTGGTATACAATCCCCTCGCCCCACCCCCACCTACTCCATTCTGCAACCTGCATTCCAGACTCTTACGATAATCATAATGCCCTATAATATATTGCTTTAAAACTGTTCTCTCCCTCATCTGTTTCAATACAGTATACATAATTCATCTAGTTTTTCTCATTCTTACCACAACCCTGATGTCAGTCCAATTCTACAGCAGTGGCGCTATGCAGTTTTTGTCCTTTTGTGACCATGATATTTCACTCAGCATAATGTCCTCAAGGGTCACCCATTTTGAATAATATTGCATGAGTTCCTTGTTTTTCAACGCAGCGTAGTAGTATTCCATTGTGTGAATATACAGAGAAGCTGTGGTATACTTACACAATGGGATACTGCCCATTTTTATCTTAAGGCTAGATTGAACTTCAGAGAGTGCACAACCTTTTGGTACTTTTATTAGCTTTTAAATAATGTTTAACATTGCTAAAATTATTCTTACTCTTTTTTTTCTCCTTAGATATCACAGTGAGTAGAAAGTTCTTTCATTTGAGGACCTAGGCGGTCACTGATTTGTGAATGCCAAACTTGAGATTGGCATATCTGTAATCAGGAGTGTGCTTATCTTAGAATGAGGAGAACTGACTGATTTCACAGAAATAATTTTTAAATTAAAAATTAACTTTTCATTCCTTTACCATATTGCAGTCTCACATTTTATGTTATTTTATAAATCATCTATCACCTCTTGTTATATCAAGAAATCACTGTAATGTCACCAGCAGTTGCAGTCTAAAAGAAAGTCTAGACACTACATCTTATGAACTCCTAGCTCTGATTTAGATTGTTTGTTTTTGAGTCAGAACCAACCCATAAGTGACCCTCCAGGAGGGTTTCAGAGGCAGTAAATCACACAGGAGAAGATTGCCCACCCTTCTCCTGCAGAGCAGCTGGTGGAATCGAACCATGTGCCTTTGGGATTGCAGCATAACTTTTTACCATTGGACCACCAGAATTCCCTAGCTCAGGTTATGTTTCATAAAATAAGTATACTGTGTTACACTGCTTGAACTGCTCTGGAGGTATGGGGCTCAACCACAAAGTAGGTAGTGCTTTGAACTCAGCAGGAGAAAAAGGAGGCAGTCTGCTTTTTTACAATTACAGCCTTGGAAACCATATGGAGCAGTTCTGCTTCATGCTAAAGCGTTGTTATGAGTCAGAATCTACTTTATGCCAATGGGTTTGGTTTGGGTGGTATGCTGTTTACCTCCAATAAAGTTACAGTTGACCAATCAAAAGTTTTAGTCCTCTTCCTTCATAGTAAATTAAAATATTTATTGTAACACTTCATTTTACTCAGTTTTTCTTTGGTCTTGCCTGTGTTTTTTGCTACATTTGCTTTATTAAAGTAGTGTTAAGGAGCTCTGGTGATATAACCCTTAGAGTTTTGCATTGTTGAGCAAAGGCCAGTGTATCTCCAATGTTTCTAATCAGATCATTGCTTGTGTTCTGAAGTGAAGGAATTTTCTAATCACTGTAGCATTTAGAAAAGAAAAAACCCACAAGTAAGACTATCTCTAGGGCTGTTCAATGCTGTTTAGGAATGAGATTATATTTGCTATGGTGAGCTAATAACAGATACCAAAGGCTGTGGACCCTCCTGAAGTTGAATCTATCTGCAGCTTCTTGGTAAAAAGATGGATGCTTCTTTCCTGCTAAGATTTGCAGCCTTGGGTCCTGATTGGTAGTCGTTCTGAGTCAAAATTGACTAAAAATGTGTGAAAAGTAATAGTGTCGGTAATATTAAAAACTGAGGGGGGTTTTTGCTAATACTTTTTTTTTTCATTGTTGCGTGTTTTCTTCCCTCCCCCCTTCACTAATATTTTCCCATCCACTATAGGTTTAAATAAAATATTAACTTAAAAATTTTAACCTTCTGTACTTTGGCCAGTTTTCAGGAAGTTTTCTTTATGACTTGACTTTGCAAAGATAGCTTGAAAGGAAATAAGACATTTAGATTTTTGTTATTTTTCTTTCAGATTTTTTTAATACTTTATTTTTAATGAGGATGATCTGAATCATCCTCATTAAAATGAGGACGGTTAGTTAGCTTTATATACAAGTTATACTGAATTTTAAACCTTTATTGGTTATAGTGAAACCTAGAATTTAGTAAAAATGAAATGTATTGTTTGTTCACTAGAATCATGTATTTTAAACAAAAAAACTTTTTTTGTTCATTTATTTTACATTAAAGATAAAATGTCCACAGAAAAAAGAAAATTATTAATGGATCATATCTTCAAACTACAAGAGTTTTGTAACAGCATGGTTAAACTCTGCATTGATGGATATGAATATGCCTACCTAAAGGCAATAGTTCTCTTCAGTCCAGGTAAATATAAGCATTGACTTCTCATTTAAAATGTGATGTTTACAAATGTTGAGAAATCAGAATCTTCAAGCCTTGTGAAAAGAAATATAAGATTAGGGGCTGGATTTGGGAAGCAGATTGTTCCTCAAACTATTGAAGAATTACCATATAATGCAGGAATTCCAATTCTAAGTAGGTGTGGGTGTGTGTTGGTGTGTGTTGATACATATATAAATATAGATGATGATTGATAGATAGATCGAATGATCGATCTAAAGGTGACTGCAGCAGTGCTTAAGAATGTGAGAGGTGATGAGGTTGATACAGGATAGGACAGGGTGCATATCTTAGATCTGTTGTTCTTAGGATTACTGTGAGTTGTACTTGACTCATTGGCACCTAACACCACCACCACAACATGAAGATTTGTGCATGAACATAGTGTGATCATTCAGAGTAGCCAGAAAGTGGAACATTCCAGGTGTCCGTGAGCTGATGAATGGATAGAGAAATCTGGTAATATGTAAACAATGGAATATTGTTTAACAGTGAAAAAGAGAAGAAAGTATTAGTATATAATGTAGCCCAGATGAACCATTATGCTGAGAAAAGAAGCTAGGCACAAAGGACCATAGATTTTATATTCCATTTATCTGAAACATCTAGAATAGGCAAGTCTTGGAGAACGTACAGTCAGTGTGCTCCTTGGGGAAAAAAGATGATAAATCTTTGTCTCACATCTTTTGGGCATTTTTAGGAGAATTTATTCCTTGCAGAGGTATATCATGCTTGGAAAAGTAGAGGGAAGGAGGAAGTCCTTCAATGATGAGGAGCAACATAGTGACTGCAGCAATGGGCTTGAGTGTGTCAGATTGTGAGGTTCAAATCTATTGCTTATAAGGTTGCTGTGAGTGCTCCTCTACTCAATGGCACCTAACAATAGTTGTTGTGTACCAGAGTCAGAACTGACCCTCCAGAGGTTTTTTAGAGGCAGTTAATTGCTTGGGAAGAGATTGCCCATTCTTCTCCCTTGGACCAACCCATGGCCTCAAACTGCTTACCTTCAGGATTGCAGTGCAACTTCTTGGCACAAAGCCACCAGAGCTCCCTCCCAACAACAGTGGATGCATAAAATAGATTTGCCCTCCCCCTTCCATCTCCACTCCTAATGTTTTATTAAATGAGCCTTCAGAACTCAGATAATAATGTACTTTTTTATCTTTCAGATCATCCAGGCCTAGAAAACATGGAACAGATTGAGAAATTTCAGGAAAAGGCTTATGTAGAATTCCAAGATTACATAACCAAAACCTATCCCGATGACACCTACAGGTAGGTGAAAGTTAAAAAGCTAAATTAATATTTTTAGTTTTTACTAATTTTTTATTTCATTGTTTTCCATTCCAAGAATAATTAACTTGGAACTTTGAAATATCAAGAATGCTATGTAAGGGAGCTCCAGTGGCCTAGTAACAAGAAGCAGTGCTGCCATCCTGAAGGCATGCAGATCAAATCCACCAGATGGTCTGCTGGAGAAGGAGGGACAAACTCCTCCTGTGCCAGTCAGACCCTGCTTGATGGTACACAACAAGAAATGAAAAAAAGAATACTGTGTACAGGGTCTCTCGAGTTTAAACTTTATTTTCTAGAATTGAAATAGTGCATTTTATTACTAAAAGGTGAAAACTCACTTTTATGAATGGAACTTCATTGTTCAGTAGTATTTTATAACTAATTTTGAAACATGCTTGGTAATATTTCTACTGTTGGCCAGTGGTTTTTTTTTAGAAGTAAAAAAAAATTCCTTATTAAGGTCAACTGTATTTTGGATTAGGGATAGCTAGTGTAGCAGAATAGTTAAGCATTCACATAGCAAAGCCAGAGTACTTGAATTTGAATCCTGACTCTGCCACTATATATATGTTGTTATGTACTGTCAAGTCACCTACAACCCATAGTGACCCTCTACACAGCAGCTCTGAATCCTGCCCTGTCCTGAGCCAGTCTCCCTAATTCTGAAACACCAACCCCCATTGCCCCAGTTACTGTATCAATCCATCACATCCAGGGTCCTCCTCTTCTGCAACCTTCCTCTACCCTTCTGAGCATGATGTCCTCCTCCAAGGACTGGTGCCTCCTGGCCAAAGTATGTGAGATGGAGCTTCAAAATCCTAGACTCCAAGGAAAAACTTGGTTTCACCCTCTCTAAGACCTATTTATTTTCTTGGCAGTCTATTGTATGTATGTTCCAGACTCTTCTCCAGCACCACAACTTGAAGGCATCGATTCTTCTGTCATCCTTAGTCATTGTCTAGCTCTCTGAAGCTGTTTTAAATTTTACATAGGAGATTATTTAGAATTTGGCTTTATTCTGTATTGTGTGTATATATGTATCTGTTTAATTTATACTGTGTTTCTTTCTCATTGACAAGCTCCCTTCCCTTTTTTGTTTTTCCTTAAGGTTATCCAGATTACTTCTCAGATTGCCAGCTTTGAGATTGATGAATGCTACAATCACTGAAGAATTATTTTTCAAAGGTCTCATTGGCAATGTACGAATTGACAGTGTCATCCCACATATTTTAAAAATGGAGCCTGCAGATTATAACTCTCAAATAATAGGTCAAGGCATTTGAAAGCTGCGAACCTGTTTTATCCCAAAACACAAGAAAACACCAAATTCAAACGCAAACTTAAACACCAAATGAACTCATTTCTTCTAGAATATCTGGAAATTTTCATTTTAGGGAGTAACTAAAATCCAAGATAGTTTAACCTCCTTAAGAAGAATTTTCAGAATGATTGGGCAGGTAGTAGAAATTGGAATTTCTTATCCTGTCTTGTTGTAAGTGAATAAGTAATACTATGAATCTATTCTTTATGAAGATGACACCTAAACTTGTCATCTTTATTAACAATTGTTTGACTATCTTAAGATACCTTATTCTATTTTACTTTAAAACAAATAAATTAGTCTTTATTTTTCAGAATTGTGTTCTATTCATATTTAACTTCATTGTCACTAATACAATCACATCTTTTTTAGAAATCCTTAAGAAGGATTTCCTGGGTTTTATTCTTCCATAAAATAATTTTGTTTTGTTTTAATTACTGTGTAAAAAGAAGATTATTTTATGCTCAATGATATAATGATAAAAATCTATTGGAGATAATTGAATATATATTTTTTGTCTTTTGTAAATATTACAGTGTCTTTTAGTCTATATTATCCTCATTGCTGGCAATGAGACATAGTCCATTCATGCTCTTCTGAGTTGACATTTTTAGTGTATGTTATTAGTTATAAGCACTTTTTATTTATGTAGCACAGATTTGTTTTTTATGATAATGTAGGGTTCATGTTTTAATATGTTTGGTTTTACTGCTGTGTTTTAAAAGTAGCGGAGACTGAGCCCAAAATGTTTCAGTACTTTAAAATAGATATTAAAGTTGTTGCTCTTCCATTCCACAAAAAGTATTCTGACCTCTTTTCTTTTCTGATAGTTTTATAGCTTTCTGGTCCTGCACTGGAATTTAACCAGTTATAATTAGGTCATTAGAGAGATTCACTGTTTTTTAAATAATTGGTTTATCATAGCTAATCCATGTTTTCAATGTGAACTAACAATTCTCTTAAAAAGATAATTTAGGTTGAGCTACCAGTCTATAGGCTGGTGCCTTGTATCCACCAGGTGCCCTGCACGTGAAAGATGGGGCAGAGTAGACACCAATTTTTCATTGTAGTAAAAAAGGAGGAGAAGCAACTTGAACTACGGTATGAAGCTGAGCCTTGTTATTGGCGCACCAAAACATTTTAGACTCTCCTTTGTCTTTCCCATTATTTTTCTTTCCAAACCTGGTACTATTAGGTATTTTTAGCTCTAAATCCATAATCAGTTATTCTGATATATTTTTTAAATTTTTAAAAAGAGATATTTTATTATATTCGAAATACATTTTTTACAAAAAATTTTACAGTAGATGAGAAACTGGATTTTTTCAGGAGTATGGATTTTATCAATTGCTTCTTTATAGTAAAAAGAATATTTAAAAGTAAAACATTATCAGCTCACAGTCTTTACCAATTTACTAAGGAGACTTTTTTCCCTTATTCAGAATTTTGTTAGCAGGTTCATTTGTCATTTTCCACTGGGAAAAATATATTTAGTATGAAATACTCAAATGGAAAAAAATCAGTGTTTAATGTAATAAGATAAGGATTGAGGAAAACAGTTCTTTAAAGCAATGTAGTAATGGTTAAGATATGTTTCTTTCAGGATTTTTCCTGATAAGAATGTAGTTATATATGGAAGCATTTTCAAATGGTATTAAAATACGGCCTGCATTGCAAAACTGCTAACATAATCTATTTCAGTGTCATATTTGTTCAGTTCTGATAATCCATTTTTGTTTATTTCTTTCATTTTGTTTTCATCCCAGAGTATGTCCCTTGAGCTCTGGTGGCCTAGTATTAGAGTTGGACTGCCAACCCAAAGGCAGATGAAATAAATCCACAACCTGCTCCATGTAAGGAAAATGGACAGTCTCTTGCCAAGCAATTTACTGCTACTAAAAACACTTCAGAGCCAGCTGGGTGGCATTTCTGACTGAACACTGCACAATAACAACATATTGAGAAAGCACTAGTAAGTAAATATCACTGGTAGTAATAATATACACCAGTGAGTTCTCAGAGGCAATAAACTGTCTGGGAAGATACTGCCTTTCGTTCTCCCGTGGAGCACCTGATGGATTTGAACTGCTTGCCTTTGTGTAGGCAGCACAACTTGTTACCCATGAGCCCACAAGAGCTCCCAAAATAAAGCAATATGTGCATTTAAAATTCCTTCTTTTTTCACTTAGGATGGTTGGACTAAGTTTCATTTTATTATATGAAAGTGTAAAAAGAATATAAATTGCTTTCTTGTATCGTACTACTGAACCATAATCTCTCGCCCTTCTAAACCAGTTAAATGTTGATGCAGAGCTGTGTTGGCAGATTCATCAAGATTTGCCTCTTGTAAATTTTTTTGGCATTAAAATTGGGTGGTTTTATTTTAAAATACTTAAGAAGATAAAAACATTTCCACGTTGTATATTGTAGAATTATCTTTTTTAAGACTTTGGCTAGATATTGCATGTTGTTGTTGTTGTTATGTGCCATCAAGTCATTTGCAATTCATAGCAACCCTGTGTACAACAGCCCTAAACTCCGCCCTATCCTGTGCCAATCTCACCATCTCTGACTCACCTGCCCCCATTATTACCCCAGTCACCAACCAAATCCATCTCATCAAGGGTCTTCCTCTCCTGCACTGTCCCTCCACACTGGCAAGAAGCTGCATTCCAATCCCAGAGGTGCATGGTTCACATCCACCGGATGCTTTGCTGGAGAATGAGGAACAATCTCCTCCTGTACGAGTCAGATCCAATTTGACGATACACACACACACATACACACAAATAATAAAAAATAATTTAAAAAGAAATCCATGATGATTGATTATGCCTTGTATATCACATTTCATTCAGACTACTTTCTGAAGCAGCAGTCACAGCCACAGGACTGTTTAAAGGCCTTAACTCACCAAGACAAAATAGAAATAGCTGGGAAGTTTTGAACACTAAAAATATAAAGATCATTGTTTATTGATCTTGGACCTGAAAAGGCTGGCTTCTAGTGCTACTATGAGAGAAGCTGCATGATTTATAATGCAGCAGTTTCCAAATGTAACCTCTCTGGAAAGAAAGGTGATGGATTTTTCCTAAGTATCTAGGAAGCAGATACAACTACTAGAATCATGAAAAACTGTAAAGTCTAACAACATTAAGTTGTAGAGAGTATGAAAAGGGTACATGTTTACGTGGAGGTATACATCCAACTTCTGGAAACTAATTTTGTGTGGTGGTGGTGTTCTGTGCCGTCAAGTCACCTGCAACTCATAGTGACCCTATGTACAACAGCCCTAAATCCTGCTCTATCCTGGGTTAATTTTATTGTCTGTGACACGTCTACCCCCATTACCTCAGTCACTGAATCAGTCCCTCTCATTGAAGGTCTTTGTCTCCTGCACTGTCCCTCCATCCTCCCAAGCATGACATCCCTTTCCAAAGACTAGTCTCTCCTTGCAACATGTCCAAAGCATGTCAGAGAAAGCTTCAGAATCCTTGCCTCCAAGGAGCGGCCTTGTTTAACCCTTTCCAGGACAAACTGTTCATTCTCTTAGCAGTGCATGATATATTCAATACTCTTTCCCAACACTACAGCTCAAAGTCATCAATTCTCCTATCATTGTCCAGCCCTCTGATGTGACTACAAAGACCATGGCCTGTATCAGGCACATCTTAGTCTCCAGACAGACATCATTGCTCTTCAGTACTTTGGAGACGTCTCTGACAGATGACTTTCCCAATACAATATATCTTATAATTTCCTGGCTGCTGGTACCAAGAGTGTTGACTGTGGAGTCAAGCAAACTAAAGCTGTTAACAGTCTCTCCACCATCCATCATGATGCTGTCAGTTGGCCCAATGGTGAGAATCTTTGTTGATAATGAGCTTCAGTCCATATTGAAGGCTGCCGTCCTTGACCTGCAGCAAGCACTTCAAGTCCTCCTCAGTTTCTGCAAGCAGGGTTTTGTTACCTGTATAACACAGATTGTTGATGAGTCTTCCTCTGATCCTGATGCCACATTTCTCCTCATAGAGCCTAGCCTCCCGGATAATCTGTTCTGCATTTAGATTACAAAGGTTTACTTAGTAATATTGAAGATAGATGTAATTCTACTTGCTTATCCTACAAAAACTCTTTATATGATGTACATAGTGATAAAAAAGGTGACATACAAAATTGTCCATGTAACCATGGTAATAGTACAACAAATTTAGGTTCTATCAAAATAGCCATTGAAAAGAAAATGGCTCAGTAAATGTAACATGATAAAATATTGAGCCGTTAAAAGGAATAAAGTACCAACATGATTGAACCTCAAAAATGTTGCTGACAAAAAGAAAGCCAAGAAGTTTTTAATTTTCGACAAGGAAAGAATAGTAAGTGACAAAAATAACCAATCTGCTCTAATTCTTTCAAAAATAGTGCCTTGAAGTGCCTCTTGGCTCCCAAACAGCAAACCCAGTACTAATGTTAGCAGAGCCATAGCAGAAGGCAAAGTACTGATTTGGAAATGAAACAAATTTTTAATCAACACAAATATGGGAAAATCAGTGAATGCTATTGGTTACAAGTTAGGTAGGCATGTGACACTCTGCAGTCATAATGAATCTTTAAAAATTCTGCACACCCTTAAAGGATTAGCTCCACTGATAACTAAGTATAATGTAAATACAGGCAGGATGTAGATCAGATACGGAGAAATAGCTAATGAGGTAGATTGAGGCTCAAACACAAAAGCAAGTCCCTTGTACAAAGTTCACAATCACTGAAGGCGTGAACCTTGTTCAAGATGCATAAAAAAAACTGCAATAAGGTGTGGACACAACATCTAACATAGCCAAGGTCCTATTTCATAGAATGCTATTATGAATGTTAAGTATCTTTATTGGAGTCAGACATGATGATGATGATGATGATGATGATAGGTTCTGCAGAGTCTAGTACGACCATAGCGATCCTATGAACTACAAAACCCTGTCTTATCCAGGGCCATCCTCATGCTTCATGCCACTATATTCTATTGCAGCAATGACTGTGTTAGTCCATCTGGTAGAAGGTCTTCCTCTCTTTCATCAACTCTGCCTTTCTGAGCATC